CATGTCCTTTTGTTTAAATTTTCATCCAAAAACCATTAACCAAGGTCGAACTTTGGTTTGGGCGGCACAAATGTCTAAAATATCCCTAATAATTTCACTTTAGAATTTTTTTTGTTCTTTTGTATAGCTAAATAATTCAAATAATTTCACTTTTAAGAGATCCAGAGAAATAAATCTGGAGACAAAACTGACATTTTCGCTCCCATTTGCCGATGTCGCGTTGTCTAAATCTCGGTTCAGCCATGATTGACGATTTTTTCAATGGAAATTTTAACAGAAGGGCATGTTTGATAATTTTTTCATAATACAGGGGCATGTTTGCTATAAAAAAATAGTAGAGGGACATGTTTGATAAAACGTCATAGTAGAAGGGCATATTATATCTATAACCCATTTTTGTTTTGTGGGTTATATATCTCTTATTTTTGTTGCTGTCTGCATAATTGATACGATGAAGACAAAATAATGAAATCTGCATTCGTTGGTGAGTTAGTGTGTGTTGGATACTTGGGTTTGGATGTTGTTTGTATGGGCTGGGGAGTGGTTTGAGTTTGTTTGGAGTAGATAAGGCCACAAGGGAGGGAGAGAAAGAGGGATCGATTTGTGGATGAGGCTTATGACATCTCTCCACCACATAGAGTTGGCTAAGCCAAAATCGTCCTTCAAATATATATCCACTCCATAAACAAATATTTGTGGAAATGGAAATTTGTGGAATATGATTTCTTTGGTTTTTTTTAATTGATTTTATTTATTCGTGAGATCCATGCATGCATGACACCATTTTATTGCAACTACTCTTATGAGTTTAGAGATTTACATGCAATGCATGCAAGAGCAAAAAGGAAAGTTTGAGATAAGTTTATGAGCCAACTATCAATAATATCGGATAAGCCATATTTTCTACGTAAGGATAAGATGTATTACATTATGTGTTTGAATGTTGAGATCGTCCTCCCTAGAAGCATATATATCAAAAGGTATAAAAAGACATTGTGACATAATCTTGAGGTTCAACTCAATTCTTACTAGGCATCACCGAAGCCACAATGAGATCGTGACCCTTCTCTCTCCAGGCAATGCATTTTCTTTCAGACTTGTGCCTAGGCGAGCTTAGGAGAGTGTTTAGGAGTGCTTTTTAGAACCATGATAAATATTTGCACCGGTTCTAGTCATTGCACGGTTCGAAGGTCTTCATAGTATTGAAGAGTGAAAGACCAAAAGATGAGTTCTTTATTAACCAAACGTTCTTCATTTCAGTAAGGAAGGCTAATCAAGAAACCCCAAATGACTGCATCTTCCTCCAAGCCTTGGGAAAAAGCAAAAATAAAAACTCTAATTTTCCATCCAATTTCCTCCAAATGAAGGGGTGATCATAATCTCCTCCAATTTTCTTTCGGATAGGAGTTATCATCGAGAATTATAAATCAAAATTTTCAAAATGACTTAAGTATGATTGTTGACTAACTTTGACTTCATACCCTAGGATGAGACTACGGTAAACATCATGTTTCACCAACTACTAACCTAGGCATTTACAAAATAAAGGTTGACAATTTTTAGTAAGATAGTCAAGTGGAATAAACATATTTAACCAACAATCAAGTATTTTTATCCAATAATCTCAACTCTCAAAATTGGTTGCCAGTTCGTCCAAACTCGAGAAACACGAATTGATATATGTTGTATAAGATAAGTTAATGCAAATAATCAAATGAAATCTACCAATATTGTTCAAATGATAAGACATTTTAATTGCACTTGAAATATGTGTGTATTGTAGACACTCTTTATCAATTATTAATATGTGATAAAATATTTGAAAATTACACATTCAACGACCATGTTAAGACCAAAATCCTCGATAGTGTGTGTGAATGTATTAGATTGAGATTATAAGTCAACATAACAATGACCACGGGTTGAGGTATAGTCTAAACTTCAAAAAGTAACGATTTATACATATTGTATAATATACTAAATTTAAGCGTCTTCATAAAAAAACTAACATCCATAATGGAAATGAGTCGAGATTAGAGAATTTAATCATCATGAGGGCTATGGTGCGTGCCAAGTTTCAATATGGATGAATAAATTGATCAAATAATGAAGTATCTTTACTAAGAATTTCTCACTAAAATGTCCTAATCTTTACAAAGGACCTAAAATCTCCATCCCTTTCGAGGACTAAAGACCTATGATCACAATCATAGGTTCCAAAGAAGAATGAAAAGAAGCCCAAAAAAGCAAAAAATAACATAACCTCCGATAGGATGAACAAAATAAAACTATATCGAGCTATGGTCCTGCCATACCTACCCTTTTATTCTCCATAAAGGGGGCGGCGGGAGAGGATAAGAAATAAATAGCAGGGACTTCGGATTTGCCTCTTTATATATTACATATTGAACGATAGACAACCCCGATGGTTGTCTGACGTTATGGGGGTAAAAGCGGGATCTCTATCCAGCGGGTGGAGGATAGACAAGTAGCACTTTAATATGAGTATTATGCGAGATAAGATAGGTCTGACGAAGTATCTGGATAATTTCGAGTCTACTACACACATATATATACATACATATTTTTTTTATAACCGAGGAACCTCATCCCCACGTGCTACTTTGTGATAGCGGGTCCTACTAAACCTGGGGGCCACCTGCATTCAATTCGACACCAACGGGGTTTCGCCCCCAGCAGCCTTATACCTTTGGGAACACCAACGGACCTCGCTTAGATTCGAACCTGGAATCTGCAACTCCCAAGCCTTCACTATTGCGGCAGCTTACCGTTAGGCTATCTTACCTTTGGTATAGATATATATATATATGGCGAGTTCTACGGTACCCCGGGTGAAATCCGGGGTACCGCATACCTTGAGTATGAAAACACTATCTAGACATTGAATTGACCGATCTTTCGGACATGATACTATACTCTAACACTTAAAGATCAAAATCTAGGTGTTAACTCTCCCAAATTATACTCCAAGATCAATTTAATTAGAAATAATAATCGACGGTTATGATTCATCCAAATATAGGCACAAAAAGGAATGCACCATCTTAGGGTTTATAGATTATGATTTAGATAATCATGACCTAGGGTTCACTCATTAAGGGTTAGGGTATAATATCAGACACCAAAATCCTGGTAATTCGAGGTCTAGATAGAGTTTCCATACTCGAGGTATGCGGTACCCCGGATTTCACCCGGGGTACCATAGAAGCCACCATATATATATATACATAATATCAAGGTATACTACACTTTTGATTTTACTCAAGATACGATAGAAGATAGGTATGACGAAGTATGTGCATAAATTAGAGGTTAGAGAATTAGGACTGGAGTTCACCTATTAGAGGTTAGGGTATAATATCATGCCCAAAACAACTATGGTTAATTTGGGATCTAAATAGTAAAACTCAGTGGGCGTATGGTAGTGTAAATACAAGAATATAGCGTACTCCTGGCGCATGCTAGCTTGAACTATATGTGTGTGTGTGGTTTAGGTTGTCGTACGTTGAATATTAGTGTTTTGGTTGACATATTTGACATAAGTTCTAAATGGGACGTGACAGCGATATAATTTATGATTAGAAAACCAAAGCATCACAAGTGACTGTGTTAAATATTGAAAATTTTCAATATAAACATACTACAAACTCTGTTATGAATCGAGAACACAAAATATATAGAATATACAAAATGATTTGAAAACATGAATAAGTTAATTAATATAAATTATAAAATAAATCTCTCCGGCCAACAGGTCGGGTAAAAAGCTAGTTTTTTATAAGGAATTATGACATACCTTGGGAAGGAGAATAGTCCAACACTGATTTGTCCTTGTGAAGCATACTTAATAGATTGACTCTCTTCTCTTATTTATATTCTGAAGGTTGCCCCTTAAGTCTAAACTAGAATATGTATAACTGATCTCAGGGCTTCTTTTGAAAATTCATTCATGACCTAGATCATTAACCAACTTACCATTAAATTTCTTGCTGATTTGCTCAAATAGAATAATGAATTTGATGATCAACCGAGATTCAAAATACGTACGTCTTGACAGTAGACACATAGAAGGCATGTTTTGAAGACTAATAATGTCATTTTGACATTTATATTTATTTTTATAATGGTTATAATTAATTCAATCATCCAACAATCTTAAGATATATTTTCAAATATATATAAAAAAAAATCCCTAAATAATGACGATTCTCAAACTAGAACTCAGACAATTTTCTGATAGTACAATCTAAAAAGACTAGTACTACTGCTAGAATTTCAACACGTTGTGCTTAATGAATGCACTCATGAGCTATCTTATTACCACATGGCCAACCACAACATATGTTTTTTTCCTCACCTTCTTACTTCCACATGCATAGTGTGGCCATTCATTCATTCAATCTAACATTTTGAAATTTCAACACATAAAACATGTGACTCAATTCAAACATGTGGTTGCAAATTTCTATGGATAGTCGATGTTCCATTTTTTTCCAATTAAAGAGAGTGCAGCATCCGAGTAGAATGCGTGTAGTACTACTAAACGTTTTTGCATGTTCACTTCTGACTGAATTAATAAGTGACATGTTTATAATTGTAGCCTTCGAAAATTAAATAGCTATATTATAAGATAAAAAAGCACATGCTTTTTATTAAGTTTGGTTACATTCCATAAAGTTTGTATAGCTTGGTTTGTTAAGAAATCGAGAATTTGAATGAGTACCGTTCATGGTTGTTAATAGAGAAATTATTGAAAATATTATTATTTGATTCATGAACTACGAATGGATAGTTTCTTTTACTACCAAACCAAGTATTTTTTGGTTAGCTACTCGCTTTATCAAATTAGTCCCAATCTTCATTAACTTAAACAAACACCCGTGGGTGAACAATTAGCATTTGACTTAAGTATCATAAATTATACAAATATATATTTGAATATGTTTATAATCTATAAAAAAGTTCGGCAGACTCATCATCGTATTAAGTATTAACCAGTAATTTTTAAATTTAAACAAAGAAAAAAACAGGGGAAGAAGGTAATTGAGATCGAGATAAACGTGTGAAATCAATAACATGGGTGATATGATGATACCCCTCCAAAGCAAAAGAGTACTGCACCATCGATCGTTTTCATCACTTAAGTGCTTCTCCAAAAGGTCATGACTTGCATGTGTTTTTGCTATAACGGGAAACGTGTCCTTATGTGAAATGGTCTGCCTTACACAATGTAATACACATATTATCGTTTTATCTCTGTACTATATACCACTACATGGGCTATGGCAATATCGCACGTTCCAAATTAAACGTGTGGAAATTATATTTGAACGTTTACAACTTAGAAGCTCTAAGCCATGCTGCTGGCTAGCTGCTCCCTATATAGTATTGAATCAATCTCAACCCTTCAATAAACCTTATTATTACGTTGTAAATGGCTTTGATGAACTATTTCTGCATTTCTGGAGTGCACGCATGGGCAGTAGTACTACTTTAAATATTCTCATCACGACCGACCCACACCACGTGCTTTTTTCCCTGTCTTTTGGACTCTCTCACTTTCACGTGAATGGTGAAAGACTGGACCTAACTTGTTAAGCGAATTTCGACATATAAAACATGTGACTGAATTCATCGACATGGGGAGAACAGGAGAGGTTGCGAATTTGGCTTCGTAAACTTCTCTTTTTTCCTATATAAGCCACTGGAAACAGCCCAACCAATTGTGTGTTGGATCTATTCCCCAAAGCTCCTTTCTCTCCTCTCTTTTCCAGCTTATAACAAGTGCTTTGAGAGGAATTATCAAAGAAAGTTACGTGATTTTGTACATGGTAAATGCCTTGCCATTATCATGTGTCGTCACTTGACTTGGGTGCTAGCTAGCACTCCATTACTCTTTCATCTTTCTCTTTCCATCTCGTCATCTTGTTCCATTATATATAGAGGAGGTTAAGAGGGTTGATCTTAAGTAGTTAGACACATTATTATGTTTAAGCTTTTTGTGAGGAGATCAAGCTATAAGGGATCGATATGGATAAAGGGTACTCATCATCATCACAAGCTCTGATCTCCTCTACCATGAAGCTCAAGCCTGTAATCAAGTAACGTGTTTACATTATAGTACGCGATCGATCAAGTGTCTATCAATTGTATTCATCTTAATTGTATTTCCTTATGTATCAAACAATAAATCCACATACCATTACTTAGCTTGTATAGTTTAATGAAGATTGTATATACGTATAAGAAAACTAAACATTATTGAGAGATAGAGATGTTAAGGCCGACATAGAGAGATGTACGTAGTACTCTTGTAACTTGAACAAAATGATAGAATAAATTGAGTTTTTGTATGCGTAAACAATTAAGTTGGTGAAAAGAATATGAGAGGGAGGGGAGCAAGGCACATGCAAAGACTTATTATTTGCTTGCAAAGTACGCAAGAGTTTAGGCCGATGCTAGGGTTTGATTTGGCATGGAAATGTATAGATTTAGACCATTTATTTAAAAAGCCAAAGATGAAATGTCCTAAAAATAGATTTTCTACACAGCTTCCTCCTATACGTATCGACTTCCCATTGGCTGAGTTTGGTAATTATATGGATGAATGCCCAGCACCATAATGTAAAGTATAAGCATCACTCACTCTCTCTTTTTTTTTTTCTGTAAATTCAAATATATTTATTATAATTTTATTTTGCATGGGAGAAAATTACGTGAGGATGAAAACATTTATCACCATTTTTCGTAGTAAAACAAGATTTCATATATGTACTGAAAAAGAGAGGCTATCCATATATATATATGTATATCAAATCTCATTATTTCACCATTATTTACACACCAAGTACCAAATTTACGTCCATATTGATCACATCACATAAAATACATTCTATCTTACAAATCCGGCCTTCATGCATAACATATATGCATATGTATATTACACAATCTATACTATATATAATACCGATATTCTTATACTTATACAAGGGAGAGAAAAAACACTACTAGCTTCAAACACTATAGACAAACCCTAGACATTAATGCAAAGACCCCCCAAAACGGCATCGTTTCACCAGAAAGGCTCATCAACTTCTTGCTTAATTATTATTATATTATTATTATCATTCTCCATTGAGCAGCTGCATGGACCAGAGCTCCTCCATGCTCCAGTACCCTCCCTCAGCCGACTCAGGCGGCGGCGGCGGCATGTTGGCCGTCGAACTTCCCGACCCGCCGGCGGCAGCCATGTTCATGGTGGCGCCCACTCCGGCCGGGAAGGCCTCCAGAGGGTGGTGGTGGTAAGAAGGCGGCGAGTAATCCATCTCCATGGTGTCAGCAGAGACTTGGCTCGAGCTGCCCATGTTCATGCAATGGTGGTGGTCCGACCCGATTCCCGGCTGCTGCTGACCCGCCGGAAACTGCTGATCGGCTTGCTTGAGGTGCTTCTGAATCCTCGTACGCCAGTAGTTCTTGATCTCGTTGTCCGTCCTTCCTGGCAGATGCTTCGCTATCTTCGACCACCTGATCATCATGTATATTTACGTTTGATTAACAATAAAGTTATTATACGGTATGGTGATAATGATAAATTATAATGAAGAAGAGAAAGGTGCATGGTGGGAAATGGAGTGGTTCTAATTTGCATGTTCTGTGGTGCAGAAATGGACGACTATAGTTTCTGGACTAGATTAGCCAATTTGGTGGAATAAGTACACTCTTGCATATTATTGTGTCGTCTAACTTTGAATGGTATAATAAATGACGGGAAGAGAACTAGGGGAAGAAAAAAAAAGAATAGTCGGCAAGCCCTATTACATGCATGCACATGAAGAAAGTTGAACAGAGAGTCTGTCTTGCCGCCGGCAGCCGGCTAGCTCTTCGTCCGGCGATAGACGATCGGAACCGACTTAAAACCTAACTCCATGCTGATAGAGAAAGGGTTTAAAGTCGGCATCAAAGGACCAAAAGCCAAAAAACCTAACTCCGTGCTGGTTTTTCACTAAAAAGGGAAACTTAACATGTGCCCTAATCGCCATGGCTTCACCTCTATTTGGAAACAACAAAACCTTTTATGATCAGTATCGTCCTATCCTTTCGTCTTCTCCTCCACTCATCATGATCGCAAATTTCTCATCATATGTTGTACTATAATCATGACAATAACAGCAGCAAGACAATATAATCTCTCTCTCGATCGTCACAAAACGCCAAAGTAAAACAAGGACTAAAATATAATTAGTTACGTACTGTAGCTGTCATATTAACACCATACCACATACCAAATCCTTTGTCATCTCCAGCTGCTTCGGAGAAAACCTAACCCTAGCTAGCTAGATGACAACCAAAACCCAGCTCAAGAACAAGCTCAAGAAGAAGCAGATGAAGAGAGAAAGAAGAAGAAGAAGGGAAGAGATCTGTTTTAGAGAGAGAATAAGGAGCTGAGTTGTGAATCCATATACCACTCTCTCTCAAGAGAGAGAAAGGAGCTAGGTTCTGGATCCTTCATATATATCAGCAAACACAGCAAGCACGTTCCATTAAAGAGGGAAAATATCTCCATCTACCCATTACTCTCATCATCTCTCGCTGAGAAATATCTAACCCTAGCAATCTCCATCCCTCTTTTCCCGGGAAACCCTAGTTGCAGTTGTCGATGATTCATCACCCAACGCGGATCTATCTTTCTGAGGGGGAGATCTTTTCCTCGTACGTGGAGGATATTCTATAGGTCGAGCATGGCCGCACCACCGCTGGCTAGCTACCACAAAATATCTATCAACAAAAACCCTAACTAAAACGTGGTGAATTCCATATATAGAAGAGATCATCATCATCCATAGCTATTTGCGGTTGACAAGAACGTGGGATGAAAAGAAACCCTACGCCACCACGTTAGAGTCAAGCTCCAACTATACTTCAACGATCTGTTTCCAAAATATCTACGTACGGATAGATCAGTGAGCACCAAAGAATATCTATCTATCTATCACAGCAAAGAGAACCCAAAACCAGCAAGCAAAGAAGAAGAAGGAAATCAATAATATTACCTGTTCCCCCACTTGGAATGAAGCTCCATGATCAAGAGCTGTTCTTCAGGGGTGATATTCCCTCGCCTCACGTCCGGCCGCAAGTAGTTGAGCCACCTCAGCCTGCAACTCTTCCCCGTCCTCTTCAGCCCTACATATACATACAGCAACAAAAACGTATCAGATACCAGAAAACCATTATATATATGTCCCATGAATGAAAAAGAGAGAAAGTAATTATGAAATCGGTTACAGTCGTACCAGCGGCTTTAGCAAGGGAGTTCCAGACACCTTCGCCATGGTTGGCTATGTAGTTGATGAGTATCAAGTCCTCCTCCATTGTCCATGGCCCTTTCCTCACTTCTGCCTCCAACGAGCTGCATCCCTTTTTCTCCATCTCTTCTTTTTCTTCTATGAGCGAAAGAGAGGAGGAAGAAGAAGGGAAATGAGAATGAGAGAGAAGAGGGTTTTCTTTTCTTCCTTTGATGAGAGATGGGGGAAGAGAGAATGGGATAAGTAAAGTGGGGAGGTAGCCAACTGGGGTTATATAGAGAAACTTTTCATGCAGTTGGTGTAATTTTCATTCAGATATTTTATGTTGGTTTTCATTCCTTGTTTTGTTACTTTATTGATATAGAGATTTGCTTAATTGGAATAATTAGCTATATATATGTTCTTACTTAGTAATGTACTTTTGATTAATACACTTTGTCCATGCATGAGTTCTTAACTAATTCAGTATATATTCTCCTTTTTATTTTCCCTCTCATTTTGTGCATTATTGTACTAAGAGATCAGTTTAATTAGCACTTCACTATTAGAACTTGTCCTTCATACAGCAACTTTATTGACACTCAAATTTGAACTTCAAAACCAAAGAAACAGTACTCTTGTGGGCCGAATTCTGTAAGGCCTGTCATATTTATGGGCCAAAAGCCCAATGGATAGTTCGCTAGAAAGCCTTTTTTAACCATGATAGCAACCACTTACAACAATTCTCCTTCAGTCCAATGGTTCTGCTCTTATGGCTGGCTAGGGAAGTTGGAATGAAACTGTGGAAGTCCACTTCTACAAAGTCCTTTCCTCTTCGATTGGATCCACCAAACAATTGAGTCCTGTGATCCACCTAAAACTATTTATAAACTACTAGAACTTAATGTCTGAGATGAACTGAATTTGAAGATGTGTGTTCGAGAGGTACATTTATATCCTTAATTTTGATTATGTACTAATTTTGTTTGTAAGATAGAAATATTTTGCGTAAAATTGGTAAAAAGATGTTAGAATGTACGTCAATTTCTACGTAGTTATAAGTAATGCATTAAAAATGAAATTATGAGGTGACTTGTTTGTCAAAGATAATGATGAATTTGGTGATACTTAATGGAATGTTCGACAATATATATGAGATCAGTGCATTGATTAATTGGATATTGTTATTAGTCAAAGTAAGTGCATGGATTTGTTATATATCAAAATAATCATCATTTTTTGTCCGAAGGAAAGAATTATCTCTCCCTATCTCTAATTCCCTCTTGTAACTCTTTTCTTGTTATGATATACTTCAAATAAGAAATGTATGAGCACACGTAAAATTCAACCAGAGTTAAGGCTCACCCAACATATATATTTTCTCAGTTAATAACTCTGTTGAAAGTTGGAACCAATAAGTGGTAAAAATTGTGGGTGAAATAGCTAGCACAACATAAACCCAGAAAACAACAAAAGGGAACAAACTAAGTACATGACAGTAGGACACAACACAATTATGTTCTATATACTTCTCCTAGCTAGCTAATAAAAACTATTACGTCATGATTAAAGTTGAATTGGAAACAGCTAATAATGCCTTGTCTTTTTTTCAAAACTCAAATTAATCAAGAAAATTCTGAGACCACACAAATTATTATTGAAGTGGATTATCGATATTAATTCTAATGTTCAGTAGAATCAAACGGTGTATGTCTTCTCCTCACTTTGTTTCATAGGAGGAGCTTATTATCTCGTAGCATGTTGACATTGATTCCATACAAAATGACATATATCGATCACAATATGCAATATTATATATGCAAGCTCATAAACATCAAGAAAATTCAAGAATAATGAATTTGGTATGCATCTTTCTTTAATAATAAGTTATGAGAGTCGAGTTCATAAGTATGTTGTGCCAATTCAATCTTTCAAAGATCGAAACTAGACTTTGAATGAACTAACATATAACCAACAATCTCATAACTTTTCAATTTGCCCAACATATATACTGCATGTACCTGTTACAACCTCGAGAACAAATATACTAAACGAATCGTAGTACTTTCTAGAGTACACGCATCTATACATCCATACTGAACAGCAAGACAGAAGTCGAATGATTAATTACGAAAGAATTAGGTACTCTGAAATATTATGAGCCACACAATCCCAACATGAAGGTCCAAGGATACGTGTTACATTTATGGGAAAAGTATGTGATGATGTTTGGTTCGGTTTAGTTTGAATTAATATAGCTATCTAATTAATTTTGATAACAATAGTGATGGGGCATGCTTGTACTTACTTCTATCGTGTATCCTTTAGCTCTGATTAAGAGACTGATTCCTAACACTATCTATCCATCCAGTGCTCCATTTTACAAACAAAAAATGAAAATTCGAGGATTGGAGGATTAATTCCAAAGTAATCCTTTATCATTAGTTTTTTGTAATGCCATATATGTGTCTATTTTGACATTACTTAGGGAAAGTTGGATTGGCTTTATTCCCAATATGGAAGGCCCTATCCCAATTGGTTGAGAGGTCCTTATGAAAGACTGACTTGAGAGCATCCAATTACTTTTGAGTGCCTTACTAAGTACCTTATAGCCTCTCCCAAGTGTTAATTATTGTACTTTTCCTAACCAATGGTCACTTTTCCCAACTCTTTAACTATTTTGTTTTCTCTTTGCTTGTATTTACTTGCCAAGTCATGAACTTAACTAAAAATAAATAGAGATAATGTTTATGAATCCATGATCTCATACCGTTCAGTTGATTTTCATTAAGTGACTATGCAACAAGACATGTATGTCTACGTCACACTGCACTTACCTACTCTACCAACCTCGGGTGGGATGAGTACTTAGAGGTAACACACATAGCTATCTCGCGAGGACACAGATTGAATAGAATACCTGATTTTCTCAAGTGCAATCAATTACAGAGAGTTGGCGTTAAGCGAAAACAACTCTAGGAAAATCCTTTGGGATAAAATATAAGTACCAATTATGCAAATAATTGAAGTCACTAAGCCATCTGACTCGTTTTAAAGACCGAAAGGTGAGTAAGACTTTTTCATATGGTACCAAAACTTTTATCTATGACCAACAATGTTAGTTCACCTCTCACCATGAACGATCATATATACAACAACGTAATAAATTATTGTCTACGAAGAGAGCTCTATTCTCATGATCACTGTATATCAAACCCCTAACTATTATGATTAAATTACAATCTAACCATCAAAACAAACCCTTGTATTAAAAGTGTAGTAGTTCTAGACTTCCCCAAATGCTCTCAAACTCTCACTAAACGACAAAGAAACCCTAGTGGCTCTCTCCTTTCAAATTGACAAAGGAGGCATTTGCATGTGATACAACCATCGTGGAATTGAAAATGTTGAAGGGTTCCATCCATCCAACCTGTAATTAATTAATAAGAGAAATCAAATTGAACAAAACTTTCTCTTGAACATGCAACACCACTAGAGAGAGAGAGAGAGAGAGAGAGAGAGAGAGAGGGAGAGAGAGAGACTTAGTTGTGAACCAATGAGAAGAGGAATTTGTGGCTAAGAAGATAGATTTAGGCTGGCCGGCTTCAACTATAGGAGGAAAAGAGGTTTAGAAGACAAACCCATATTAGGACATTTATTAATCATCTCTCCTTTCTCTTCATCTACAAGAGACTCTTGGGAAAGAGTAGTAATTGAATACTCAGTACTGCTCTGCTACATCCGCGTCCACAGGCCACATTCTAGCTAGGGCGATGGGATGGGACTTATTGAGTGTTGAAAAGTGGAAGAAATTGGGTGAATGGACCTCCACATCATTGGATCCATCATTATTATGGATAAATAATGTGATTATGATACGGATCGTATGTATAAGGATTAAGGGATCATGAAATTGTACGAGTGAGTACAGACGCTTACTGAAATTAGCGTGTTTTTATTGAAGTTTGAACGAAATAGTATAATCATGTGAGCACTTTAGGTCTATATGACAAGTTCTATTAAAAAAAAAGTTCTATTAATAATTTGGTTCAGGTTGCACGTTCTATGAAGGGCTATCTGATCCTTTCTTGTTAGAATTATTGGCGATGATATGGAGCTTACACAATGGCCATCATTCTGTTTGTTTTTGTGGGGATTCGCAATTGGTCATCCGACGAGCTATGGAGAACGACGTTAGCCATGATCGAGGTGGGGCAGTACTTGAAGAAGTGCGCTTGATGAAGACCTCTTTTACATTTGTTTTTTTTTTTTTTGTCTATGCTCCCCGTAGTACTAACAGGGCTGGCCATCGTGTGGAACAAACGGCCCTTGGATCGGTAGCAACCCTTTTGGTTGACTACCGCTTTTTATTTTTCCATGCAGTGTAATGAACTGTCTATTACAAACTATTTATGGAAAAAAAATACCCTGCAAAATTTTAGGAAAAATTTGTTATTAGGTATATGTTTGCAGTTACATACACACTTGTTAAAATATCAAAGTCCAATTGTTGATTTCTTAGCTACTCCGCCGAATGTTTTGTGGCACCTTCCCTGATTGACCCTTTTAACCAAGTCCATGGACCATGATTTACTAAACAATAATCATTATTGACTTGGAATTACACTTGTTTGTCCTTTTTCTTTTTAGTACTAACCCAAATAATTATTTTTGCCCAAAATGTGTTGTGTGATTAGTAGGGTAAAGTAGTTGGGTGTTTGTTGTTTGGTTGGAAAGTTCCCACTAGTTCAGACTAAACTTAGCTTGTATTGAGAAAGCAAACAGGGCACCTTTCTCTTTTTGCCCAATTCCTTTTGGATGATAAATTATATTCCTTTGTTTTGATGGAAGAGACTGAAAACTCTTTGGCAATGGATTGGTAATTTTGATATGACGTGTTATTCTATCTATTTCGAGGCGATTAATAATGGTCTTTTTTAGTAGAATGTATATAATATTATTTAAATTAATTATACTTTAATTCTTATGTTATGTTTCGACCGTTATATGGTTATTGTGTCTTTATTAGTTAATGAACTTGTTTTTTTTATCTTTGATACACATTTAATTTTATCGACATGCTACGATTATTAGTTAATGAACTTGTTTTTTTTATCTTTGATACACATTTAATTTTATCGACATGCTACGACTTGTGGCTCGCCAATACATCTAACTTGGACTCCACGTACCAAGGGGGTGAGTATGAGAATTGATTAATATATATGTTCCACATGGGGTCCTTACTCCTTATCATTTTTTCTAATATTTCAATCTTTTATCCTTTTCTTTTGTTTGACAAATTATTATGAGAAAAAAATTACCTCCTTTATTTCTTAATACTCGAACAATAATGACTAACTCGCCACGATTAAGAACATGTACCTCTAATAACCGAAATTAGCACAAGACCATTGCTCACTCTACTTCACAAACCTCTACTAGTTCGATGGCACAAGCTTGCGTGGGTAAGTTTCATCCGAAAGCTAATGAAGTTGGGCCTGAAGCTGAGATCTTAGTACTAGCTTGCTCGCCCAGTCCACTTACTAATGGGCCACATCGGAGGCATCTCGGCCCTGGGCATTGGCCTTCTCCGCCACTCTTTTCTTTCTTTTTCCCAACAGCCAACTCTCGCACTATTTCCCCTTCGAGCTCTCCCAGTCTTCATTCCTATTATTTCTCCTTCTTCCGCCGGCGGCAACATGACGAGCTATCTATGGAGGAAATACGCGGATTATCTGTACACAAAATGGGAGAGAACGATTCTCTGGGACATGATCGATCCCTACCGTAGGCCCAAATCTTTCACCCCTCTCGTCACCATCTACGTCGCCGCCTTCTACACAGGGGTCGTCGGCGCCGCCATTACCGAGCAGCGTTACAAGGTATTGGATCAGGTTTTTATGGATCGCCCACTTCAATTTGATTTCTGGGTTTTCATACAGAACGATTTCTGATTTGTTGGAGGTTAATTTTTGGGGTGGAATTTGAGCAGGAGAAGTACTGGGAAGAACACCCAGGGGAAGTGGTGCCTCTGATGACTCCAAAATTCTATACTGGTCCATGGAGGGTGTATAGAGGAGATGCCGTGAAGCCCAACAATTAGAAACTTCCTGGTCTTGAAGTGCTCTGCGATATCAAGTTCCTTTGTTTACTGGGTTTGTAAAAGCTATGAGCTTGACAGATTTATGAATGGAGTTGTTCATGGCGTTTGTTCAAGGCGCCCTGCTTGTTTTTGGTAAACTTGATGGTCGAATGGAGATGCCAATTGGCAACACTTTTTGTAGAGATATATTGTAATGTTACGGCTCATATATTGTGCTTTTTGATGATGAAGCTGGTAGATGCTTCTATCCACGAGTTTTCGTCACGGTTCCTACAAGATTTTGTTATTATATCCTGAACCTAGAGCATTGCACAAACAAAATTAGTAAAGAACCAAAAAATAAAAGGAAGAATTTTTTTTTTTTAATCTATCTTATTGGGTAGGAGTATATACAGAACGGAAAATGGTTTGATTTAGATACAGGGAAACAGAAGACCAGCTTAAACCCCATGTAGAGGGGAAATGGTCTTTCAGCATAAGCATTCTCCAAATCTGTGCACTTTCTAGCCTAATAGCTCCCCTGCTCTTAAGAATCTCTACTGCAATTCTGCATCCTGCCTATAACTTGGAAGCTCCATTTGATGAATTCTAGAGCGCACAATCTTGAAATCACCCACGAAGAACACAGTGCTAGATCGATTGACCGCCACCTTGACAGATCAGATCAGGTATATGTGTTTGGGACTATGTCAAGCAGTGATATGATTGGGGGAAGCATTTTGAGAGGAGGAAATGCTTAATCTTGAAAACCAGCACATATAGCCCATAGCATGTGACCGAGAGAGACGCCATTAGTAGATACCTTCAAAGAGAGTGAGGGAAATCAGAACATGTATAACCACAGCTAAAAACTTTCAGTCTTGAAATACATACCACAATGGAGCATAAGGTGAAGCCAAGTCGAAAAATGGGTATGGCCACCTGAAGTTACAGAGAACATCATTCATGGAGATTAGCAAAACAAAATATGTGCATAAGACTGCTTTCGTGTTTGGAAGAAAGATTTTAGGAGATAGGAAGTACCAAATAGATGTACAGGCATGAACAGCCCATTGGAAAAGGACGAAAGAAGCGGTATACAGAATGAAGTAAGCTATCCGGAACCAATGAAATGGCTGGCAAGAAATGAAGTATATCATATACAATTTAGATATTCTTGAACGGAAATGAAATGAGACTTCACATGAACAGAGAGAGAAATCAAACAACAGCAGTTTACCAAGCTATTCATAGCCATGTCACCAATGAGCAAGACTGCGTTGAGTGTATGCATGTCTATAGTTACCTGTAAAGTAAATTAATGAAAGTATCAGAATTCTAGGTAAAGGAAACAAAACCCGCAATGTGGTGAGTACAACAAAAATACAGTTTACAAGCCGTACTTACAAAGTTGACAGAGTAATCTGCAATGTTAAGAAATGGAAATATAATGAACCAGTAAATGGAATCAGTATAAACAACTGCTCCAGCACATATCTGTTTCAAGAGAGAGATCAGAAGAACCGTGAGGTGGTAACACAACCGAAAAGGGAGCTTCACGGGAATTAGCTTGCAATGGTATCTACCTGGTATATGGTTTGAAATATGTAGTACATAATAGGAACTTCTTGAATACAAATTTCTCCTCCACCGTTTGCTTTTTTCCTTAATTCACGAACATCAGTACTTTCCTCAGTTAGTAGAGGGGCAATATACCCTTGCTCGTAATCTCTTTGATCATAGTGGAACCTCAACTTGTGAAACCGGTAACATCCATAAACGGAGAGCAGAGATCCAAGCTACAAGTAAAGGCCAGACTGCATTAAGGGTAGAGCAGATATTTTTTAATGCTGCAAGTGCCCAGATGGCAATGCTTCTTCAGACAGACTCTTACTTTTCACCATAGGTCTATTTCACACCATTGGGATAACAAACTGCAAGTGTATGTTCTTACAAAGAAAGCTTTTCATTGTGATCGCCTTACAACTTTCAGCAAAATGTTAATAAAGAAACAAACCAAGCGAAAACACTTACCGCAAAATAGACTGTCACAAGATTATAAGTCCACCTGCCACCAGAACCCAAAAGTTAAAAAAATTGAAGTTAGAATGTAATCAAAATGGCTGAAAATGCCAAGAGGAAGCATGCCATTGATGAAACCCAAATCCTTGCTCTAACATCCCTAGTATAATCCATTGAGATTCATAGTGAAAGAACCATACTGTGTATAATAGAAATACATGCGAGCTCCACTGCTCGAAAGCTTTACAACCATCGTCGCCAGAAGCACAGAGAACGCCACAACCCGATAAAGCAACAACCAAATGGGATGGATTTGGTCGAGACACGGCTTCCAGACAGCATCACTGTGAGACAAAGTGGGTTTGTCCTTCTCTTGCTGAAGTTTTTTCTCCTCCCTGCTGCAAGATCCCAAATGATCCAAACCTTCGTATTTCCATATGATATACACTGCCACAACCGAAGGCACCAAAACCCACGTTGCACATAGCAACACCCTCCAGTTCAACCAGTAGCTCAAGCTGGTCGTATCAGGAGAAGAAGCCAGCAAACCCTGCATCATCGGGTGCTGCCAGAAAGAAAAGAAAAAAAAACCCCTCCAATCAAACTGGTGAAATCTACTCCAAACCCCAATGAGAAATCGCATGTGAAAGGTAAAAGCTGGATCTTGTTGAGGAAGAAATTCTACTTCAAACGTAACATTAATTTTTGGAGATGGGTATCGATTGCATTGAATTCGAGTGCAGGGCACCAAGAAAAAGATCGGAAGATGGAGTGAAGTAAGGCTAGTAATCAACCGACATTCAAGAAACAACAAAATTCGAGCTACCCACCATCAGAGTGCGAATTGGAATGGCGGTAAACGACAAATAACGGAGAAGAAGCAGCAGCAAAGAGAGATCAGCGGTTCTTACATTTAAAGGTGACGATGGAAGCAATTATAATACTGAGTGAAGAGGAAGGTGGGTTCGTCGTCGCGGGGCGATGGAATGGAAGCGGGACGATCGCCGGCAAGCTCCCAAGAGGTGGAGGACTTGGCTTCAATGGAAGGCGTGAGAACACTCTTCCATTTGTGGAGGGAGGAAAACGGAAAACTGTAAGGTGGGAAAGTCGCGCAATGTTTTTATTATTTTTCATGTCGATAATTGGGTTAAAATAATAAAAAGCCCATTAACCACGCATTTGGGCCCAGCTCATTAAATTGGGTTTTCAGAGTACTCCACATGCAGATTATTTATCATCATTAATGACAAAAAAAAAATTATCATCATTTGGTGTGAAATTGTGAATGTGATTATCAGCAACGAAAACTAATCATTGTTTTTTACAATAAATTTTATAGAAAAAGGACGCAAAAGGGTGTCATAATCCTTTGTATTAAAATAAAGGGTTTCAAAGATTTGATAAACGTTATCCCATGGAATAATACAACAATTAAAGGGTGACTCATCTTCTTCATAAGCAAGATTTGTTCTCATGGCACACGTGGTTGCCATATAGTTTTCGATCAGTGATGAACATCAGACGAATGATAGTTGTGTATATATATGTTGGAAATATTTATGAAATATATCTGTAATACTATTTATATATCTTCGTGAATCTCAATTGTGGCTAGAGACTATATTTGTTAGAGTTGGGAAAATAGACCAAACTATTTGAAAAATTGTGGACTATATTGTACATTTTGGTTTGGACTTAAGAGATCTGTTACATGTCTATATTATTTGATGTTTTGATCTCTTGGCATGACCTAAACCGCGATTTATCGGACTTATCCGTGGACCCAGCCAACTTCGTTAGCTGCCTACACGAGTCGCGACCACTCTCTCAACTATCCTAACGAGACCCAAGTCTCAACCCTAATTTTGAGAATATCGTCCCCTTCTTTATTCACAACCATATTTCACCAGAGAGCATAAATGATTGTGTCTCCATATGATATCATGTTAATGTTTATGAAGATATGGTGCAAGTTGGGATGCTTTGACTTTGCATCTTTGTTATTTACTGAGATTTACGGTGTCAAAATTAATCATGCATGTTGGAATTTATGTTTTCAGGGAAACAAAAATATCTCTGTTATTGGTTCAATTTTTGTGTGTTTGATAAACAACTAATTCATTTATCACTCAGTATGATTTATTTGGACCATATTGCACATCCATTAATTGATATAGACCGTATAATATGTGATCTGATTTATGACATATACTCCAGCCTCTAGATAAAGAAACAGAAAGAAACGTGGGGGGAGAGAAAGAGTCAGAGAGGAAACCAAAAAGAAAAGGCAGCAGGCAAAAACGAGGGGCAGCAGTAGCAATTCGGTTCTGACCCTTCAAACCGAACCGAACCGAATTACAACTCGGTTCGAATTCGGTTGGGGTGTTGGGGATTTCGGAAAATCGGCATATCCTGGTTCGGTTCGGTTCAAACTGAACCGACCGAACGCCCACCCATATTAATCTAGACTATAAACGATATATATTCAGTCTGCAGACCCATCGTTTCTTAACGTATATTATTCTAATTTGTCAAGTTTCAATAGTAGATCCACCTCTAATTAGTCATATGATTAAGGGACCCCTTAGTCACCTGATCTTAGCCCGCGGAGAGGGCCAGAAGTTCAACTGGGCTAAACACTTAACCTCCCTCAAAAGCCCAATATTGGAGCGCCACCGACTTTCAGAGATCACAGCTTTAAAGCTCCCCGGCTCCCGCCACCGCCACCACTCAATCTTTCTTTCCATTGCTCCGCCGCTCGGCAAACCCAAAAAAGACAGGACGAGATGCGGATATTCGTAAACCTACCGTCGCAGCAAACACTAACTCTCGCCGCCACCCCGTCGGACACCATCGCCGACCTCAAATCCGCTATCCAATCCCGCGGAGGACCAATTTCAATCTCGGACCCTGCCAACGAACAGTACTACCAATTGATCCACTGCAGCAAGCTCCTCGACGATGACAGCCGAACCCTGGCCGAGTACAGAATCCGGAACAAGTTCGCGACAGTCGATCTCCTCCCGCGGCTCCTCGGCGGCGGCGGAGGGAAGAAGAGGAAGAAGAAGGTGTTCAGCACGCCCAAGAAGGAGAAGAAGGACAAGGAGAAGGAGAAGCTCCCCGTGCTCAAGCTTTACAAGGTCGTGGGAGGCGGCGAGGATGAAGACTCGCCAGGTGTGCTGGAGAGGTTGAGGAAGGAGTGCCCGAAGTGCGGACCGGGGAATTTCATGGCCGATCACGGCGACCGGGTTTCCTGCGGCAAGTGCGGTTTGAGTTTCGCGCGCCACCAACCGCCGACCCCACAGCCGGCGGCGCGTGAGGACGCGGAGGAGGAGGGAAAAGAATTTTGCCGTAGTTAACGTTTAGCTTTTGCTTCTTACTTCTAAACAACTTAATTAGCGATCCTGCTAGCTAGGCCATTGGACTGCTTATTAATCAATTTTCCACAGGGATAATGATCAATCACTGGTTATGACATGTGCAAAGCCATCAAGGAGGCGGAAAGAAATTAATTAATGATCTGATCATCCGTAGAAATAATTCTAGAGTAAGTCCGGAAGAAGTCTCTATTCTCTTTCAGCAATCCTTCCCACACTGCAAAATCAAATCAAAACAGCACTATGGTTATATGAGATACTATCAAGACAACAACTACGATATATAGTACAAATGTAGTCACAATAGTTTTCCTCGTGCGAAAGGTAATTAATTAAGAAAGCGCGACACTAATCACATAGATTAGCGTGTTGTATCGATTCCTTACCAGTGAGTGTGACTGTGGGATGAATGCAGGCATGCTTGGAGAGTGCTGTGGCGCATTCATCTCTGTTCATGCGAAGTATCAAACACCTCTCTATCAAATGCTGAACCTGCAACAATTCACAGTATCACAGTACTTCAGCAAAGAAAAATGGCATTCTCCAGGGCCAATAATTTCTGCATGAAAAGATAAGGATATGCATCCGTTTAGATCACTGTAGTGGGGGTAAGGTTTACCATTCTGATGCATTCTTGTGGTTGGCAGTGCAAGCAAGGAACCAGTGGCTGCTGCTGTTGTTCTTCTTCTCCTCTGCACATCTTGAGAGAAAACAGAAAGAGGGAGAGAGGAGGGGAAGATCTTTTGCCCTTGGTTGAGAGATATTTGGGGTCCAAGTCCAAGATACTTGGTGGTTCGTTTGTGGGATATTTGTGCTGCTGTGTTGTATAGCTTATATATACACAAGAAACATGGAGTAGGAGAGGATATGAAAAAAGTGGTAATGGCTAATGAATCTGTTATCCATTGAAGCATAAGGAAATATCCAAGCGAAGGGCCAAAAGTGCGCCCGAAATCCAACACACCTCTGCAACTTGCTTTGCTTGCTCACCTCATCTCATCCTTTAGTTTGCTTCCACGTACCTCTTCCCCCTCTTATTTTCTTCCACGTACCTCTCCTCCTTTTCATGTATTTGTATTGTAAGGACTAAGGTAAGTACTTCAGTAAGCGAAGTTTGCGTTACCATGCTGAACAGAACGCTGGTTAAGAACGAGCCAGGCTTCGACGCATTCCTGATAGCTGTGAATAATCATTCCACTTATAAACGAAGCTTGCACGACAGATATTAACAATCAACGAGAAAACGTAAAAATGAGTGAAACGATCATCATGTTGTACGAAGAAGTAAATATTTCTTTACGGTATAGTCGAAGTTGCCGTCAATATTGATATTCCTCAACATGGCTCTTTCATGGAACGATAAACAACTTACCGCGAAATGAGCTTCATTCAATCCTAAGACGACTTGTGCTATAGATATTGAGCATCTGCTGACATTTCCTGATTCTAATTGGCGATATATGGGCGAAAAGATTCATCAGTACCAGTTCTTTACACGTGAATCACCTATATGCCACTAGAGGATATTCAACCCCTCAGTAAATATCCAACGGTATATACTGTTATACATTACTTCCAGACTTGGCCAGCTATGATCCTGAAACAATCTTGGTAAGGGTGTCCTGAACTGATGCAATCGACTGGATGGCAGACCTGGTCAGCCAGCTCAGCCCGACTTTAACCCGGTGCTCATCCGTTGGTAGCCGAATCAAGTACGCAATTTTCCTAGCTGCATCATCATCACAGAAACGTCACATTAGATCGTAATGAAGAGCGTAGACGAGAGAGTAAAACAAAGGGTATATGCTGGTATGAATAGCATGGCTCGAGGAGAAGGCTGTAGTGTGTACCAGTATGGCCGATAGGACCTTCTAAGGTTAGCCCATCGATGAAACTCGGCGTTACAGCAGCATCGCTCTGCCCCAGAGTCATCATTTCGCCCAGATTTTGGAACCTATCAATGGTGTCAACACATTCGTCAAGGCAAATCGAGCAGGTGAGGGATTAAAGAGCCGGTAAAACATGAATTTTCAACATCTGTGGCATGCGAGCCATCCAATTCGTATTTACTAATTGGATTGACTAGACATGGATAAACCACACAGTACAGGGGGGCTACAATTATCATTAGCCAGGGAATATACGATGAATATCATTAACCAACCTAAATGGCAACAATGGACGGTCATTAATTGCAGCCCAAAGATTCCAACCAGTAAAATCTGCTTGCTGAAAAGCAACCTGAATGGGAAAACATAAACAAGTCCCAGACACATCAGGCGGAAGTAACATAAAAATTGCAGATGGATGTTCAGCATTTACATCTTTACAGGAAAAAAGTTTACCTGAGCTGTTGGCGGAAGAACCTTCCCTTTCAAATCCCTGAGAGAAGATGAGTCACCAAGAGCGAATATCCGTGGGTGACCCTTGACACGAAGGGTCTCATCTGTCTCGGCCTGGCCCCTTGCGTTAAGCGGAAGCTCGAGAGGCCGTTCACGGGGTTCCAGCTCAGGAAGCAAAGGTTTAGACCCCACAGTCCATAACACTAAATCTGTTTCAAGACTTTGACTTTGCATTCCCTTCTCAGCAGGTTGCAGTTCCAAAATGTATTTCTCAGAATCCGAGTCACTTGTTTTTTGGATAGAGCGGGCAAAGTAACCCAATAGCAATTCAACTTTCCTGGATGTAAGAACCTAGTTCCAATAGCAAAGATATGTTAGATAAACAGCTTCAGTTGTAGGAACGGAAAAAAAAAGTTCAAAATCATATCATCACGCTATCTTCGTTCACAAAAATAAAAAGAACATAAATCTCATGAATTAAACTTTCTTATAAATGGTGTTATCATGCTATTCAGTCATGACTCTTGAGTCTTGAGATGCCATTCAGTGACACCAAAATTCACAAATCTTAAAGTGTTGTCAAGTTTTATCTTATTCTTATTGTAATCCATAGTCTTACTTTAAGTGCAGCTTCCCTGTTTCCAGGTGGAGCAGTTGGGCAGATCATATTCTCCACATTAATAGCACGTACTACTCCTCTATCCTGCAGTCTCTCAGCAACGGTGGCAGCCAACTCTACTCCAGCATAACCACAACCGACAATACATACACTTATTGGAGATCCCTTACTGAAGTTTCTCCTCTCCAGTTCTCTTAACTTACAGTCAACCTTCTGCAGTAATGTAATGGTTTGCAAAAATAAGTCAACCTTGAAGACTTATGATGCGGTGTTCTAACAGTAAACCATAAACCTGAAAATCTTACAAGAGCGTCTTCCAGTGTAGAAAATGGCAATGCATACTCTGCTGAACCTGGCACAACATCAAGTTTTGCTTCAGATCCTAGAGCAAGAACCAGCCTGACTGCCCAATAGGATATGGAATAGAATCAGCTAGAACATCTAATATTGCATAAGAAACAAAACAATCTTTTCAACCTGAGCATAGATTAGAATAAGTGATCAATATGCAAATCCTTCAGGTGCCACACCTATACTAACAAAGTCTTGGGCAGAACTATATTTCTTTAGTGGACGAGTCTGGTCAAACGAGCCCAAACTTCTGGCCCTTTACTCAACAACGAGACTTATGCGCATTAAAGGAGACAGTGAGCTCTTGTTACCCACCCAGTAAACAGGTTCACCACTAAGAATTGCTAGCAAATTATTGCACAAACTACTTACCAGTCATACTCTATCAGCAGGCCACTTTGTAGCAGGACTGTACCAGCAGAATCAGATTTTGCTGACCCATTGATTCCCAACTGATCACATGGCTGTAGAACTTTTACCCTGTCTTGCACAAACTGCACAGCAGTGTTTGAAAGCAAGTCCGCGAAGCGGGGAGCGATTTCCCAAGAATCCACTTCTGCACTGATACTGGAATTCTTTAGTAGGTACTTTAGGAAATCCATTAGAATTTGCTCAATGCAACCCAATAAGAACCAAATAAATGAATGATCATAGAAAGAAATAGTTAGTACCTCCTGAAAGAATCTCATACAACATGGGCTTGAAGACAAAACGATCCGCTTGGTCAACAAGGAGCACCTGATCAGCAAATTTGGGGAAATTAAGGATGTTAGAGCATCGAACAGAAAGAGATACTGGGGATGAAACACAATTAAGGATACTGATCCATGAAACACCCAAGTATCATGATCACACCAGGGACAACATGCGGATCAAGTAACCCCAATAGAGCCGAAGTCTATACATAACTTGAAACCCATCATGCTTAAATTACGAAGCATTTGAACAGAATTAATTCTTCAGGACAACTTTCAATTCAATATTGCACTTAAATGCTAGTCAGTCATTACCTGAGGTTTCTTATCATCCGGCCAAGCGAGTGATTCTAGTCTCAAAGCAGTATATAAGCCTCCAAATCCACCGCCTAGAATGCACACCCTCGGGTTCTGCAGCATTACAACCAAAAGCTGTGCTGTTAAAAAGTGGGTTGATCATCAAGAGCTGAAGTTAAAGTAAGCAATTAGATCGAAATAGATGTTTCTTGGTGAACTGAAATTCCCAAGACATACAATCTTCCAAAACCGAGACCTGGGGAAGAACAGGAATCAGTAAGCCAAAACCCACCTTCTTATAAGGCCAAGTGTACACCCGTGGAGGCATTTCTTCTTGAGGTAGACTGGGAACCCCTACTGCATCATTCACCACTGCTTCCGTAGCTACAAATCGAGCTGACAACTCTCTCCACGGAAAGGACTGTTTGAACCCAGAGTGAATAGTTCTGCATGGAGTCGAAGTGGAGGCCAAAGGGAACAACTTATCCCTTGACGTGCCTAATATCAACAAAAGGATTATACATCAATCACTCCGAATGCCACTAACTGGTTGTGCTTTATCCAACAAATTACTGCATAGAAATGAAGAACACTTCTGCAAACCTGTATTCGAGACACAGTGAACTGCAATACGAGAATTACCGGAAGAGGAATCCCGGACGCGACGAGAATTGAATGGGGATCGAAGACGGAAACCATCATCCCCGATCGAGAAAGCTAACGAGCGGGTGAGTGAAGACGGGGAGCTCCTGTGCATTGCCGACGGTAGCAGTACTGTTGCAACTGCCGCCATGGCTACTGTCTGGTATTCAGAGCAGCGACGGAAGAGTTGGAGGTGGAGATATGAGAGCCATTGGAGAGGGAAGCCGAGGAAAGTGAACTATAACTAACTCTCAGTTTGGCGGACTTTTTTTCTGGGTCGAGTGTGGCGGACTTCTAGCAGGCCTCTTGGATTAATAACCGCAACTAAAATGTAAAAATAATTGGGCCTTGTATTTGGGCTGGACAGCAATGTATAGGCTTTCTATTTGGGTTTCCTTCCAGAGCCCGGACTCTTTACCCGCTGCTTCGTCTTCATTCTCCATTTCTCCTCGCTCCCGGAAAACCGTAAACTGCCGCCGCTTTTCTGCACTCAGTCTTCTCCCCATTCTTCAAAATTTTAGCCTCGCCGGAACTTCCTCCTTCTGCTTCCGTCAGTAGTCGGCCGCCGCCGCCGCAGTGATCCCTCAGCTTTCAATTCATCCGTCAGAGTAAGGTAGGTCTAAAGTTTCAATTTTTCCTTCTACTTCAATCGTATCCCTCAATTTGTCTGCATCCTCCTCATTCAGAGCGTTTGTATGGTTTGCTGCCTCTTCTACGACTTGGGGTTACTTTGTGCTTAGGTGAAAGCATTGTATAACTTAAACTGCTTTCTGTTTCAGAGTTATTTCCATCTGGGCATGGCTATTGTGTGCCTGGTTTTCAGTTGTTAATGAACGTTTCTGAAGTTTTGTCTGCGGTGATGAAGCTTCTGAAGTGTTCACACTATCATATGCCCATTGCAGGGTCATCGTAGTATTTAGCTAAATGTTGCTTGTCGATCCTGAGAAGAAGTTATTTTTCACTCGCACCATTCAAAATGGCGATTTGGTCATTGTGTATGAGAAGCACGACATAATGAAGGCTGTAAAAGTAAGCGAGAGCTCAGTGCTTCAGAACCGTTTTGGCATGTTCAAGCACTCGGATTGGATTGGGAAGCCCTTTGGGTCCAAGGTGTTCAGCAACAAGGGTGGTTTTGTTCATTTGCTGGCTCCAACACCTGAACTGTGGACTCTTGTGTTGAGCCACCGAACCCAGATTCTCTACATTGCGGATATCTCGCTTGTGATCATGTACTTAGAGGTAGTTCCTGGATGTGTGGTGCTCGAGTCTGGAACGGGTAGTGGTTCTTTGACAACTTCGCTTGCACGTGCTGTTGCTCCAACTGGACATGTCTTTACATTTGACTTCCATGAACAAAGGGCTTCCTCAGCTAGGTGAGTAGACTGTCATTTATGTGTTGTCTGATAAGATTGTTGACTTCATTTGATTTTTGGTCCTTTATAGTAGCTGTCCTCGCTGCTTTTGTGATTGTATAACAAAAGATAAGGCTGTCTTGAGTTCGTTTCATTTTGGTTTCATTAGTAACTGATCTAACTGCAGTAAGTTTGATGCACAATGTTGATGCTGAGCTTTCAGCTGTACTAGCGTCTTCTTGTTCTTTGTGAAGGAACTGACATTTATTTTCCTGAATAGGGAAGATTTTGAAAAGACAGGAATCAGCAGCTATGTCACTGTAGGGGTTAGGGATATTCAGGGTCAAGGATTTCCAGAGGAACATGTCGGCTCAGTTGATGCTGTGTTCTTGGATCTACCACAGCCGTGGCTGGCCATTCCTTCTGCCGCAAAAATGTTGAGACAAGATGGTGTGTTGTGCTCGTTCTCACCCTGCATAGAGCAAGTGCAGCGCTCTTGTGAAACCCTGAGATCAAACTTCACTGGTAAGTTGTTGCTTCTTTGCTACAAATCACTCCTTTTTTTCATATGCAGGTATGTCAGTAATTCATATGGGTCTAGCCCACCTTTTTTAGCTCATATTTTCCATTGCAAGGCTCATTTAAATATATGTATCTCTTCTCTCTCTTTGATCTTGTCTTGAAGATATAAGGACGTTTGAGATACTCCTGAGGACGTACGAAGTTCGACAAGGCAAACTGGACAGCTTCGATGGAGACGAAGGCATCTCGACTGGTTCTCGTCCTGGGAAGAGGAAGCAGCCTTCCAGTGATAGAAGCAGTTTGCAGGGGGACAATGCTGGTATTCTTGCTCCTGCTCTTCCAGTGATGGCCAAGCCTTGTTCGGAAGCTAAAGGTCATACTGGCTATCTGACATTTGCCAGACTCAAATGATTGGCATGACTAATGCTTGTTGTTGAATTTGGAAGTCCTTTCTTTTCTGGTTAGCCCTTTCACTCTTGCACGAGCCTGAAAGATCACAGGGAAACATTAGGGAATTTTCAGCTCTGTTCTAAGGCTATGCTAACACAGTGTTCCAGTTAAACATAGTAGGCTGTGCTGCAGTTGAGTTTGGCCAAAATCAGTTGTTCTGTGGATAAGATAAGAGAACAGTGTTATCAGGAGAAGTGGAACAGTTTTGTGGGGCATGCAGGTCTTATAACTTATGTGCTACATTAGTTAGAATAAGTCATTTCTCTCTTCAATGCTGATCAATAATAAACCTGTTGTTGCTGATACCTTCTTCTCGGTTCCTTCTTCTCCTTCTTCTATAACCCGAGCTCGGAGAAGGAAGAGATAAGAAGGCCCCATGGAGAATGTGCACCCAGAAGGTGATTATTTCCTTTCTCTGGGAATCAACATAGAAGTTGGTAATTCTATGCCACACCTTAAAAGCCGCCTTCGCTAAAATTGATGCGTCGTTGGCTTGGCTTTAGTAGATGAGTTAAGTGGATCAGCAAGTGTGATGCTACACATTTTGGAAACAACCATTGTGCTTGGAATCACTTTGAAGCAGAAAAGAATAACTAGGTTCTGTTTCTTTCTTTTCAACACTATATGCAATCGGGGAGTTGAATCAGTTTGCAAAGCGAGCTACAACAGAACCTGATGTACCTAGCTAAGATTGCTGATGCTCAGCCACCACCACCACCACCTCAGCCACAGCCACAGAGGACGACGACACCGCCACCACCACCAAATGTTCAGGTAAATGCTTTGAAGAACCTAAATAAACCTTACTATACTGCTGATGTTCAAACGAATTGGTTATCAAATCCTCTCTCTTGTGTTTATGTATACAATTCAGATGGCGTCGATGCAACAGGAGCAGCAGCAACAACAACAACACTACATGCAGGCATAACAAGGTCAAATTGAATGGCCCCAGCAGCAGCAGCAGCAACAGCAACCAATGTACCTTCAAGCTCTTCGACATCCTTTTCAGATGAACAACCCAAAGCAGCAGCAGCAGCTGCTACAACGCTCTGATCCAATGAGCACCAGTATATGTCTTGACTTCCACTAAGCTTTTCTGAAATGTCGCAGTCAATGTACTTTGAACAACACCAGAACTTATCTCCGTCGATCCCCCTCCCTTTTTAGGCTAAGCCCCATGCTTGTTGATTTTGTGAAGCAACTTTGTGTTGGTCAAGTGGCTCTATTTCCAGATTCAAAGTTCAAGTACACCCAAGGGAACGGGCTTAGCTAATCCATGGACATCATAGGCAGAATTCAAGGGAATTCAGTAATAAAAGGCCATCAAGGAGGAAATGGTGCTAGGAAAATGCAACGTTATGCAAAGGAACCACCCAACGTATTCCAGTCATTGTAGCAGGCAGCTGTAGCAACTGCAGGCACCGAACAGCTGAAAACCCCCACAGCCCACAAGTATTAGGGTAAGACAATAGGCGCATTAGAAAGAAAATAACTTTGGAGTGTAATTTGGAAGTCCCTCGATCAAGCTTGTTGATCCACTTATGACTTAACTTATCTACTAAAGCCAAGCCAACGTCACATAAATTTTAAGGGAAGACGAGGCAAGAGGGAAAGGCACCCATCTGGGTGCAACAGAGAATTAACAACTTCTATGTTGTTCCCAGAGAAAGGAAATAAGCAGATATAGACAAACTGCATACTCACTCAAAAATCGTCAGATTACCTTCTGATTGGATTATTGATCAGCATTAAAGAGAGAAATGACTTAGCTAACTAATGCAAGACATTAGTTATAAGACTTAGTATGCCCCACAAAACTATTCTACTTCTCCTGATAACACCTATTCTCTTATCTATACAGAACTACCGATTTTAGCCAAACTCAACTGCAGCACACCCAACTACGTTTAACTGGAACATTGGTGTTAGCATAATTTTAGAACAAAGCCGAAAACTCCCTGATCTTTCCCTACGATATTTCAGGATTGTGCAAGAGTGAAAGGGCTAACCAGAAAAGATAGGACTTCCAAATTCAACAACATGCAGAAGTCTCAATGAAGTTGAAGCATCAACATTCTGAGGAAATTCAAGGGAATTCAGTGATAAAAGACCTAACGTTATGCAAAGCAACCACCGAACGTATTCCAGTCATTGTAGCTTTTCATCACTGCATATACGAAGTGCAGAGATACTATTGCAACAGAATGTCCATGACGCAGCGAGACAGAAAATCCTTTTCGGTTTTGTAAACACAGCAAAAGACAGTGCAGAAAAACAACGAAATAGATAACGCAAAACAAATAGGTATATACTCACCATACTGAAGACAACAAATAAACAAATTTCCCGAAAGACCATGTTTTTCCTCAACATCCAATAAGTTAATCGTTCATATTCCAGCAGATAAGTATTCCCAAAAGATTTCCTTCACTCAACAAAACCACAACCGGCCACTGATATGCCGGAGTATCCTCCACAAGGACGCATACAGTTCGACATTACCTCCTAGAAGACCAAAGAATTACTATCATCATTCAATAGATCCAAACTGTTTTCCCATACATAATTCCGTGTTCTCTGTCTCGATGCTTACAGTGGCAAAAGAAACACAAAATCAATAACTCATCAACTGACAGATAATGTCTATGCCCTTTATCAGAAAGAAATAAACCATCTCGGCAACAAGAGTTTTGGAAGGGATTCTAGACTGTACCTTCTCTGCTGCTTCCCCACAAAACTGTAATTAGGTCAGCATGAGTTGCAACCTTGCTCTGACCACTGATGTCCACACTGGATCATTCCAAATCAGCTCCCACATTTATATCCTGAGTATTATCCTTCGATTTGCTTAGTATCTTCACGTTTGACATGCAACCAGGGCCACCAAAACTAGCACCATTTAGGTGGCTGGAGTCTGTAGAAGGAAACTTTTTGGCCCGGTGAGACTGCACCATTGGGTTAGGGAGATGGTAGGCAAGAAAGACGAGTAAAGAGTGGAGAATGCAGCTGTAGCAGGCTATCATCTCTTCTGCCCCTTCTATTAGCTGACTGTAGTCGCCCTCAATCAAGAAAAGCTGAAAACCCACACAACCCACGTGTCTTGAGGTAAGACGCATTATTAAGAAAATCACGTTGGAGTGTAATTCCAGAACCATACCTCTGGATGACCAGCCACATAGTCATTTCATTACAAACATAGTAGTTGTTTGGTCTTAATAACAACAAGAACCTGTAGTTCAGCATTCCCATTAAAGATGATGGAGTTCATGTTGCTCTGGCAGCAAACACAAAACAAAATTTTACTTCCCACTGAAACTTCCAACGTAAATCAGCACAAGGGAGAGATAGTCACTAGTCGGACAACATATTAATTGCTCAACAAAATAAAAGACAGCATGTTTATTAATCCATGTTCTCCAGCTTACACAAACACATACAGCAAGCAAAGTAAGAATCCATCAAGCAGGTACCACACTCACTCTCCATCTCATTCATCATAAAGCTCCACCAACCTTGCATTGTCCACAAAGCCATTCACTGCAGACCAACTTATAGAACTTCAGTTATAATTTCACTTAATAATATAGAGCAGAAGGACAACTGAAGGAACAATGGGATACAGCTTGCAGACCAACTTTTCTCAAACATGATCACCAATCCATGTATTTACTTTGTTTCCTCTATTAGTCATTCCACAGCTCCCTCTTCTAGGACTCCATTTATAGTTTCACTTAATAATATAGAGCAGAAGGGCAACTGATTGGACACAATTTCAATTGTAGGGACAACGGGACACAACTTCCGTACCAACTTCTTTTCCCGAAAATACGGCCACCAGTCCAGAGCAGAAGGGCTTTCAATTGTAGGGACAACGGGACACAACTTCTGTACCAACTTCTTTTCCCGAAAACACGGCCACCAGTCCAATGTATTAACTTTATTTCCTCTATTAGTCATTCCACAGCTCCCTTCTAGGACTCCATTTATAGTTCCACTTAATAATATAGAGCAGAAGGGCAGCTGATTGTACACAATTTCAATTGTAGGGACAACGGGACACAACTTCCAGACCAACTTCTTTACCCGAAAACACGGCCGGTTTCCTCTATTAGTCATTTCACAATTCACAGTTCCCTTCTAGGACTCCATTTAAACTTTTCACTTAACAAAGATAGAGCAGAAGGGCAACTGAGGTAACTAAATGGTCACTTCCACTAAAACCAGCATGGCAACACATATTACCATTTGTGGATCACCAGAATACAATGGCAACAGATGTCCAATGATTGAATGTAAACATTGCATAGGTCAAATTTACTTTATCTATTGCAATTTGCAGAACTTGAAAGAAGCAATTTAGTGATAAAACTTAGCTGAATAGAGGCAGAACGCAGACAAGGATTTGTGAGGAGAAGCAAGGCTCTACAAGATTGTTTTTTTATTTATATCAAATCTGTGTACAAGAATGTTACTGAGAGGGACGCATTCCAACCCTCTTAACGCAACAGAGTGCACAGTCATGGCCGCACCAAAACCCTAACTGGCGTGATCAAATAGAAAACCTAATTGTCAAAGAAACCGACCAACAACGAGTATATGGATCACCACCAATTTCCCACATTCCCAACAACTTTTGCAGATTCCCTAGATGGATCACCCACAAGTTATGCATCAGAAGGAAAAAAGATGGAGCCAGAACTCGTGTACCCTAAAACCGTCGGAATTAGGGCTTCCAAAGAAACTAAAAATCGCAGATTCTGAGTTCGTTTACCCACGCAACTAGTTTCAACAAAATCAAGGAAACTTTACCTCTAGCGACAGAACTGGTTCTCCAGATAATCTGGGTAGCATATGCGCAGAATAGCAGAGACGAGGAGGCAACAGGAAGAAGGAGAAGAATTTGACGAATCCCTCACCGATAAACCCCAGGAGAACCTTTCTGACCTGGATATCCGCCGCAAACACCAACACCGATCGAAAGGGAGAGGCACCACTACTCTCTACCGACCACTAAAACCGATCGCAATGAAAGAAACCCGCTGTCGCTGCCGCCACCGCCGCCCCATTGTGGCGAGATTTCAATTCGGGAAGCACCTCTCTGGATCTCTGCAAGCAGTAGCTAGTAGCAGGGATGAGGTTCCAAAATGAAGAGCCTGGGCAACGTATATAGAGAAATTGTAAAATAGAACGTTGGGGAGTCGGTTATTCCCTCGCTGGTCCGTGTAGCGGAAGTACTACGTGCGTAACTTCTACGTCCCAAATTGGACGCGTCGCAACGAACTTATGTTGACCAAGTCAACCCGCGTATGCCCCACGTATTTGGGTAATTATGCACTTGGGCCTTTTAGGTTATCAAAATTGGGCTTTCAATTTCCTTAAATTATAACTAATTTCCACCCGCAAACTTCAGCCCAATGTTCTCTTCTTTTTTATATTAGATTATATTATATATTTTATCCATTTTTTTAGAAGATGGGCCTTTTTTTCATGCCAAACCTGGGCCATTTTTCACCTAGTAGATAAATATGAGCCATTTTTATCAGTTTTTTAACTTTCTTTTCAGGACAGTTGCTTTGTACGGGTCTCTTTAACTAAGTGCTTGACTTGATTGAAATTTGTAAACCACTATCAGTTCTGGTTATCAAAACTAGCGGTAGAACGATTAGAACATTCACATTGGAATTGTATTTTCAATTATAAGATTAAATGGCTTGACTTGTTAAGTAAGTGTAATTGGTGATGGACTTATTGAAATTTGTAAACAACTATCAGTTATGGTTATAAGGACTAGCCGGTTGAACAGTTAAGAGCATTTATATTGGTATTGCATTTTCAATTGTAAGATGACATGGCATGGGTGTTTGCAATTTCAAAAACCAATTGCAATGATGTGGCTACCAATTGTATATTCGCAAGCTTGCAACAAATGCAATTGCATATGCAAGTCAAAAAGGTCTAAAAAATGGGGAGAAAAAAAAATATTAATTCTTCTCTCTTTTACGTTATTTTCTATAATTTAAACATAATATTTAATTGGGTAAAAAAATATATATGCCAAAACTATTAAGCAACGAGAAATAATAGCCACAACTATGAAAATACTAATTATTAGCCATAACTATTGTTGCGAGTAAAATTATGGCTAACACCCCGTTACCGTTATTAAATTTTTTTAACGAAGAAGTCCACGTCAGTAGGCACGTCGGACTACATTTTATTATAATTTAAAACATAAAAAAAAATAAAAAAACCTAAAAATTGAAGGGTCGTGAGCCTCTCCGCCTGCTTCTGCCTCTCTGCAATCCTCCTCCTCCTCCACGACCCCGCCATCCACCCCCACCCTAGCCACCCCTTCCACGCTTCGCTCCGCTCGCTCGCCGTCGTCTTCTTCCGGTGGTTCGCTCCTTGAAAGAGGAGGAGAAGAAGAGGAGACAATGAAGCTGTTACTACGCTCCTCCACCACCGCCTTCTTATGGCCCTAAAGGTTCGATTTTTCCCCTTTCTCCTTCCTTTCACCCCTTTGAATTCCAAACTAGAATAGGCAAATTTTGTCTGGAAAACCCAAAACATCCCCTCACTACGTTTGACTTGGGTCTATATTACTCATATATGCTCCTTCTTCATTATGAAAATTTGCATACCAGATTCTAGAAAATTGATGGAGTGGTTTTTTATTTATGGCGTACGACGGCCAATAGCAATAGAACTGGAAGCAGATAGCTCCGTCGCCGCCAGATTGAGTGGTGACGTATATGCCAAAACCGCCATCTAGGCCACCAGCGCCTGCGAGACACCCACTGCCACCTCAGCAGCTGACTTACTTGAGCAGCAACAGGGCGTCTAACTTGCTTGGACAAGATGGGGTTCGTAGTGCTTCCCAATGGCAAGGAAGTAGCTATCAAGCAGACAAGGAAAGAGGGCGGAGGAATACAGGGGAAGAGGGAGACGAGGGTTTTTTATTTTATTTTTAGAATTTATTTGGTTTTTTCATTTTCTTAAAATAAAAAATGTGGTAAGGTGACTGCCACGTGGGAGCAGCTCAACATCGTAAAGTTTAGTTAGCATTATTAAAGGAATTGTTAACAAAAAGTTAACGTTTGGCTAATAATTTGTATTTCGATAATTGTGGCTATTATTCCCCGTTGCTTAATAGTTCTAGCTACTATATTGTATTTACCCTATTTAATTATATATGCAAAAAAAATAATTGAGTTGGCAATACAAAGTACAAATGCAGCCGGTCATCCGTACAACTCGGTCAGTCTATTCAACCAGTCAACCACCACTTCCTTTTTCTTGGTAGGATTTGTGAATCGTTTATGTTTTCTTGAAATGTTTTTCTTGTTAGATGGCGACTCCATATTTCTTTTTCAGTCAGTCAATCTATTTATTTTTCATGTCGGCCAATCCATCAATTGTTCACGTGGTTGAAATAATCTACCCTAATGATATTGACTTGCTCCAATTCCATGAACACTATCCTAAATTCCTAATTGGCCAAAGCAAACTACCAAAACTAACTGAGAGCTTCAATCTTTCTCTCAAGGATAGAGGATGGTCCATCCATCCATTCCTGGCTGTTATTGCTGGCTGGCTGGGCCTAGAGGAACACATGCCACACATATCTCCAGCAGCCAATTTATGTTTTGGTTCAACTTCAAACACACCAATCACCACACATGTATGCATGGGCATGGCAAATAATTTCATTGTTCTTCGCATACTAATGGCGGAGCTACATAGAGTGTAGGGTGGGCCACGGCCCATTTGAGATTAGTCTCGGCCCCTGGGACTCTTAAGGATATTCAGATAAAATTTGAATAAGTACAACTCGGTTGTATACTATGTCATGTAATAGTGATGTAGTTTATTGGTAGATAGGCTTGACTTTTATTGAGAAGCACAAAGGTTTGATCAACAACTACCTCACATTTTGCTTTAGCCACTCCTTTTTTGTTCTTTTATTACTTTAATCCAACTTCATATGAAAAAAGTCAACTTCTATTTATTTTTCACTTGGTGATTTTTCTAATTAAAATACCGATCATTCTCCTTTATAGAAACAATATGATCCAATGATTAACAGAGATATGATTGTCAAATGAATTAAAATGATGAGTTTCTCGTTAATGATTTAGTTATTTATATTAAATGAAAGACAACTAAATTATTTAGTTTAGATGCTATTTTGAACAATTATCTCAAAGAACGTTGTGTACTTTTAAAATAATTATTTTAGTTTTATTTATATTTAATTATTTTCGGCCCACCCGGCCTCGAAATCCTGGCTCCGCCCCTCATATTTCATCTTTTAAAATTTAATATTCGTCGTTCGATAACCTGTTATTTTGGGTCACGATTATTTGAAAAACATTTCTAGTTGATAAGGCAAATAGTTGTTGTTACATATTGTCATGATATGTAGCAACTAGCTTTTGGATTGAGTTAGCAACCATATCAATGTAAATACTCCGTTTAATACACGTATATGTACCCGTACGTACTTTATCCGTTTAAAACTTCTGTATCCGTATTATTGTCAAGCCGTTTCATTTTCCCTCGTTCATTTGATGACGCCCGTACGAAACACGTATAAAACCCGTATAACACGTTTATTATCCGTATTTTACGAATTAAATTGTTAACTTTAGTATTATTTATATATTTATTTATTTTTAAAATGATTAATTTTATATATTTATGACTATTAACGTACTATTAAACGTAACTTTAGCTTAAAGACCAAGTATAATACCCGTACGTACTTTTTACGTAACTTTTTCGTACCGTATTTTACTAACACTATGTAAAACACCTCAACCACCACATGTATGCGTGCCACAAAGAAATGCACAATATTATTTATTACACTATTCATGTTTTGTCTTAAATAGATCTCATATTTGTCATTCGAAACCTATTATATTTTGTTATGCCTCCTTAGATGCCATTTCCATTCCACATAGCCAAACGGTTGTTGTTACATAATGCCATGAGTTTGTAATGATTAGCACTTAGATGGTGTTTGTTTAGCAATCATATCAAGGTAGAACACCCAAACCGCTACTTGTATGCATGAAAAAAATGTATATTATTGATCTTTTGAAACTTAATATTTCTTATTTAGACTCTGAAATTTTCATTTGTAAGGGTCAAACGATTATCTTTACATACTTTCGTGTGTTTCTAGTGATTTACTCTGGGATGCTTGCTAGTTATTGGAGAGTTTGGTCCTTGCAATATAAGTCTCATCTTAGACCATTGTACCTTCCATTTCCCACTTTTCCTAACAAAGAGGCATTGGTCCTATTATTGACCTCAAAGTAGCAACAACCAAATCCCATTATTTCACACTTTCCATTCATCCCCCATCCCCCTCCAAATTTGCACATCATTTATAGCAATTGGCAAATGTTGTAGGTAAAGGCAACAATGACTAATCTTATAGTACAAATGGTCTTGCTCAAAAAAATTAAGAATTTGTCTATTATATAAATAATTTCTTTGTAAGAACGAACTGATATCATCTATTATTAAGGTTTGAACTTAACGAACAAAGTGTTTTTATTGGTTGATTAATGGACACCGGCTAATACGCAGAGAGTTGACACCATGCCTCTGTAGTTAGGATCGAGCTTGAGCATATAGTAACCTGCCCCACGAAGACTGATCAATTTCATTTCCATGAGTCGGCATCGGAGACCAATGGACATATGACACCTCAGCCATCCCAGTCTCCACTTCAGAAAGGACAGCAAGAACCACAGAGCCACCAGTTTAAGCACTGAGAGTTGCAAATACTACAAAAATAGTCAATAGGAACCCTTTCAAAAAGATCGTTTTTTCTGCGCTCAAATCCAATGCTGCAATGCCCAAATTTCTCGCCGCCTTTTAACTTATAGGAACCCCATTGTTTCTCCACCACCAGAATTATGCAGGGCATAACAGCATCCGCTGCGTCTCTTTCAATAAACCCATCGCTTAAACCACGAAAACTTCCATACAGAAGCCTCTCCAACCAGAGATTCACTTGCCTTAACCAATCGAAACCCATTTCTCCTCGGCCGTTTCCATGCCGGAAATGGCTGTTCCTCGCGCCAGTCTCTCCCCCTGGAAATGGCGGATTCCCGGCGGTGGCGGCCAGAGCCGCCGGAGCCCTTTCGAAGAATTCAGGGGAAGAAGACAATGACGGCGAGAAATTGACTGGGTTGGCTCGGACGTTGAAGTTGGGGGCCATGTTTGGTGTCTGGTACCTTCTCAACATCTACTTCAACATTCTCAACAAGCAGGTTCTCAATTCCCACCGTCATTTCTCTTCTTCTTCCTCCTTTATCAGATCAAGATTGAATCTTTTTGAACATTTTCTCTGTGGGGGGCTACATTTCTTCAGGTTCTGAAGGTGTATCCATTTCCTGCAACGGTGACTGCCTTCGAATTTGGGTGTGGGACTCTCATGGTTCTCACAATGTGGGGGTTGAAACTCTACCACGTCCCTAAACTCACCCGATCTCAGGTAACTTTCCTGGGGGAAGCTCTGATCAAATGTGTATACCAGTAACTCTTTTTTAAACCAGGTCGAAAATCGAATAGGTAAGACTAATTGTTCTAGTAGTGAAAAGGTAAAATCGTATTCATTCATACTCAATAACTCAAGTGGATGAGAGATAGTGAATAATAAGTATTCAAAGGCTACTAATTTGAAAGCAAATTCTTTCTATAACTCAGAATTGTTGAACAAAAGGATAAAGAATACATCTTATACTACTGTAGATTTCACTATGATGTCTACCTTTTTCTTTATTGGTGACTTTACTTTGGTCAGCTTGCAGCAATCATCCCATTGGCTCTGGCACACACAATGGGGAACCTTCTGACCAATGTTAGCCTTGGCAAAGTTGCTGTTTCATTCACCCACACAATCAAGGCCATGGAACCATTCTTCACTGTGCTATTTGCTGCCATTTTCCTTGGGGAGGTAAGGTAAAGTAAATTAATTTATCAGATGGGTCCAACATTCTTTTAATTCTTCTTATGGTTAATGAACCAAAAAGTTCCTTTCTTGCTAATTTGTGGGGGGCAAAACAAAACAACAACAGAAACCTACAATTTGGGTATTCTCTTCTCTTCTGCCCATAGTTGGAGGAGTGGCATTGGCATCACTGACTGAAGCTTCCTTCAATTGGTAAGAAGAAGAGACCCAATACTAAAACCTCCATTGCTCTCTCTTCCTCCCTCTTGTATTTTTTTATATGAACAGAAAGCATTCTTGTGCAAAACAGGACAGGGTTCTGCAGTGCAATGGCCTCCAATGTCACAAACCAGTCAAGGAATGTACTCAGCAAGAAGCTTATGGTTCAGAAAGAGGAAACTCTGGACAATGTCAACCTCTTCTCAGTAATAACAATCATCTCGTTTCTCCTGTTGGTCCCCTCGGCGATCTACATCGAAGGGATCAAGTTCACACCCTCATATCTCAAGTCTGCTGTGAGTCTCTTCTAACATCCCCTACACATCAACGTTCTTCCAGATGACTAATCCACTTGATGAGAGATCTAACCTATAATTACTGTTTTTGGACGAAAGGCGAATCAAGGGTTGAATGTGAAGCAGCTCTGCTTGAGATCTCTACTTGCTGGCTTCTGCTTCCATAGCTACCAACAAGTAATCCCCCCTCTTAAGCCTCATTTCTCTCCCCTGCCTCACTTGCATTTCTTTGTTTCCATTGTTTGGGGTACTGAAACGGGTGATTGGAAAACTGCAGGTGTCTTACATGATACTGGGGATGGTGAATCCTGTGAGCCATGCAGTAGGGAATTGTTTGAAGAGGGTTGTGGTGATTGTGTCTTCTATCTTCTTCTTCCACACTCCAGTCACTCCAATCAACTCTCTGGGTATTATTTCTTTTTCATCTCTGAACTTGATTTGATTGAACTTGAGGACAGTACAGTGGCGTCTCAGGGCTTATACCCTTTGATTACATGTTAGGAAGTTCAGTTTCTCTGACTGGTTTGGTTTGTTAACTTTGTCCAGGAACTGCAATGGCGCTGTTAGGAGTGGGTTTGTACTCTAGAGCTAAAAGGATAAAGCCTAAGCCCAAGGCTGTCTGAATTGTGTAAATTTTTTCCTCAATTTGTTGATATATCATGAAGTTAATGAATGAAAATAATGCATGTGAAACTTTACAGGAATTAGTTATGGAAATGGTTTATGGTATAAAAGAATTACAAAAAATGTAAAGAAGAAAATAATAAATTATAACGAATAGATGGTCATTTATCAAATATTTTAGGTCCATACTATTTTAGTATTTTAATAAGAGAAAGTGTAAAAAGAAAATAAGCTATTATAAAAAGAAAACAGTCTTAATTAAACTCATAGCATTCCTTAGTTTCGAGAAAAAAAAAACATCTTTAATGTCATTAATGGAAAAAGATATCCCCTTTTCCCAAATGAGTAATGCATTAATAAGTCTCCTAAAAAAAAAAAGAGTAATGCATTAATAAGTTTCTATGATAACACTCATAACAGCCAAACAAATTATGCATTAATTGATGTAATTATCAAAACTTAATCTTCCCCACCGTTGCCGACCATCCCCATCGCCGGACCGTCCACCTCGCCGTTGTAACTATCAATCGATTTCCCAAACAAATTCGTATTACTGAAATCAGAAAATGAAAATTCGGGAATCTCCACAGCAGACTCGAATCCTCCGCCTTCGAATCCCCAATCGCTGTCGGCGTCGAAATGGAACGGCTGCTCCGACGCCTCGTGCAGATCATACATGGCGCCGGTGGCAGGCGGACCGGTTGCTGCCTCAGACGACGAGCCGATGACGAAGTTGCTATTCGTCACCCAATTGGACGGCGCGGGAATTTGAATTGTTTCCGTCAATGACGGCGAGGATGGGGAAGTGACGGCGTGGATGTATTCCTTGAGGACAGCGGCAGAGGCGGAGGGCTCAGCGGATCGGTAGTTCCGGCGGGTGGAAATGGGTTGGCGCCTCTTTGCGGCGTTCCAGTGGTTCTTTATGTTGTTTTCGGTCCGGCCCGGGAGTAGCTCTGCAATTTTGGCCCATTTGTTTCCCATCTTCTTATGGGCCTGGATTAATATCACATCCTCTTCCTCGCTCCATGCATCTTTCTGCAGCCCACAACCCACACCACAATTTATCACAGGCCCATATGGTGAAAATCCTACTAAGCAAAGCCTAAATTGATTGATGATTTTTCTTTATATATATAGAAACTGATTGATGATTAAATTCAAAATTCAAATTAGTTGATACATTCTACTGGTGATACAACGCTATAATACAGACTAAAACCGGCTAGTAAACTGTGATGAATAGGGTTGTTTGACGATGTCGTAGCACCTATAAAGACTATTTTTATGTGTGTATCATGTTTTGTACCGCTTTGACTAGTGATACACAATTTTTTAGGGTCCGATCACCTGTTTTATACAATACGATATTACAAATTATGGATATCTCATGGAGTAACTTAAACCTACCGTATTTTGATAACGGTAAACATGACCGAATCATGACACATTTTAACAATTTATCGTGCAACTGTTTTACTAACGCCTAGCTGTCACTCTATGAAAAAAGACAATTTCGCTCACATGGTAAGCTCATTACTCATTTATGCACCAAGACCAAAAAAAAGAAAAAGAAAATTGTAATAACAAATAGATGCGCAAGCTCCACGTATGACCCTCGAATGAATGCATGACAAGTGTCAAATATCATCTAAAATTACACGTGATTTTCATTCTAAAAAATCGAATGGTTATTGATATGGCTAAAGAAGCCATTTATTTATCTTTTCATGCATAATCGGACACTGAACTGTAAAGTAAATACCATTTTTTAAGAAAATACAGTTTGAAAATGAAGGTAAAGAGCAGTCAATTTCAAACAAATGTTGATATGTCCATAGATTGAATGAGATGATTGTTAGATCATATAAAAGGGAGGAATTGATGTAAATTTACCTTGATACAAGGCTTTAGCTGGTTGTGCCACCTTTCTCTACACTGTTTTCCTATTCTCCCACCAATAATACTAGCAATTAGAGACCACCTCTTGAGTCCATGCTTGCCCACCAATTGAACCAGCATGCTGCCAAAAAAAAAAATTCATAGAGAAATTGTCACTGCGAATGAGATTGATATCAAAACAACCATTATAAAAGAAAATTAGAGAACAAACTTGTCCTCTTCAGCAGTCCATTGGCCTTTGACTACAGATATCTTTGGAGATTTTGCTGAGAGCGATGGTCCCTCCTTTCCCACCTCATCCTTGTCAATCCTTTTCAGTGACGGATTCGGAAAGGGCAGATTATTTTGTTGCGAGGGACCATCGTTTTGATTGAATTCGTTGTTATGAGTTTGAATGAATTTTCCATGATGGTGTTCATGAAATTGGTAGTTATTGGTCGACGTTGAGAACCTGCTTGCTAGATCTCGGACAGGATTGATATCTGATGAGGGGAATTGCGTTGGGAAGACGGGAACATATGAATTTAGTTTGTTTTGCGATGTGGTTGATGAAAAAGAGAACCCTTCTGTAGAAAAACTATTAGGATTATTGCTATAGCCCAGAACACCATTGATTGGGGTTTGATGATTGTGATCATCAACCTGGGGGAAATTTTGAACCAGTAAGTCATTAAGAGACTGTGATGTAGAAGACAAGGAAGAGGAAGAAGAAAAAGACGATGTTTTGTGAAGCCTTCCTACGACGCTTTCTGGTCGCAGTCTTTGTTGTATTGGATAATTGTCGTCGAGGATAAGACTCGTGAACGAAAACTCATGGTTCATAAGTTGTGTATCAAGATCCATGCGCAAGAAGAAGAAGAAGAAGGAGGAGGAGGAGGAGGAGGAAAGGGAGAAACAGGAAGATACATTCATAACAGTAGTACAACACAGAGTCGCGTTTTATATGGTCTGGGAGATATGTAAGAGCGAGGAGAAAAGGAAAGAAAGTAAATTAAAAGAGCACAAGAATGAAAGGTTGTTAAAGAGTTATTAAAGACGAATCTTAGGGGGTAAGAGACGAGGCGAGAAAATGGTTGACTGAAATGTATTTTAAAACCGAACCACCCACAAAAAACCCAAAGCGTCTGAGCGGGTGATTAATGTTAGTGGCCACCCAAACCAAACTCAAATTTCTTTCTATCAATCCGCCTTTCACTCTTTCACATATTTCAATGGATTAAAAAATTGTACCGTACGGGCGGTTCGACCAGAAAAATCTTATATCGGAGGTTAAACCAGTAAGCGGTATGAAACGGTTAAACCACGTTTTCAGCATAAAATACCTTATCGCTGACTTTTCCAGTACGATTTTACAATCTTTGCTTGTTTCCCCTTGTTAACAACATTATGTTAGTTAATTTTTGCTTAGTAGATGTGTGAGAGTCGAAGATGAATGATTTGAATAGTATTATACTTTATCTTATGGATTAATTGATATTTTATGATTGGATACTTTGAATTCTTATTAAGAGTTGTTCTATCTTTATTCATTTAACAATTTATTAGGTTCGTATAGTATTATAATTGAAGATCAATATATTGTATTTTAGGTAGAGTAATGTTGGATATATGAGGTGAGTGTTACACACGGGTTATCGAAAATCGCCAACATGCAAATGAGGTTGCAAAACATCCCTGCTTATGAGTTATGGGTATGGGTATGGGTAGGGGTGGATAGCCATTGGGTCTATACCGGATAGAATTTTAACGAATCGGTATTTGTTGCGGATCGAATCGGATAGAATGTATTTCAATTCGATGTTGGTCCTAAAAGTTAGTATGACAGAAAAAGTGGTCCGAAATTGAATTTGGCTCGGACTGTATCGAACCAAATGAAACAAACCTGTTTGAGTCTAGTTCTCGTCCTCAATTTTCTTTTATTTTGGCCCGATTTTATCTCAATTCTATCTGATTTCAGCTGAATCCACTTATGCTCACACTTAAGTATGAGACAAATATGTATTTGAGTATGTGTGTCAAAATTGAGATGGAATGAATTAGGAAAACCCATCCCATTAACGGCTTGGCATCAGAAAGGATTAGAATTCATGGATTTTATGTATTGAAATTGGGATAAATGTTGTATTTTATTTTGTTAGACTTTGCTACAAGTTTGAATGTAATTTTGTATTCAGTTCTAGGTCAATTTTGAGCTAATATGAACATTTTATTAGCTGAACCCGATTTTGGACTTGTTAAACTTATTTGACGAGCCGAGCTCTAGCCGAGTTCGAGTTTTCATTAATTTTCATAAACAAGCCGAGCTCGGACTTTGAAATATATTAACGAGTCGAACCCGAACTATGACAAAACTCAACTCGGCTCGGATCATCAACAGCTGTAATTATGAACCACAGCTCTAATTAGAGTCAGTCGGATCCTAGTTGTTGGGTGTCATTTACTGTTAGGTTGATTCTTAGATTGGACAATGGCGTTTGTTATATAGTTTAAACACAATCCACGAACTTAATAATCCATTTCAATTCAACTCATGACCCACCCACCCCTAAATCTAATCCTCTATAATTTTAATTCCTCTCCTGCTTTGCCTGCGGCCTGCCTGCCCTGTATTCAAGAAAATAAATTAACACTGGTGAATCAGCATATTCAGAAAATCCATCTCCTTTCCCAAAACCTCATCCTCCCCCTCTTCCCCGCCCTTGCCGGGCCTCACCATCGTCGAACTGCCGGCATAACTATCTATCGACATCCCAAATGAATTCGCATTACGATTATCAGCAAACGAAGATTCCGGCATTTCCATAGCAGACCCGAATCCGACATTGCCGAGTTCAGAATCACTGTCGCCGGTAAAAAGGAACGGCGGCTCCGACGCCTCGTTCAGATCGTACATGACGGCGGTGGCAGGAGCTTCGGATTCCCTAGACAACGACGACCCTGCGGCGAAGTTGCCTTTTTTCGCCCAATTCGATGGCGCGGGAGTGAGAATCTTCTTCTCTACGCTGGGAGAGGACAGGGAGGTGACGGTGTGGATGTAGTCCTTGAGGGCGGCGGCGGAGGCGGAGGGTTCAGGGGACCGGTAGTTCCGGCGGGTGGAAGGGAATTGGCGCCGTTTGGTGGCGTTCCAGTGGTTCTTTATGCTGTTTTCGGTCCGGCCCGGGATTCGCTTTGCGACTTCGGCCCATTTGTTTCCCATCTCCATATGGGCCTGGATTAGCTTCTCGTCTTCTTCCTTGCTCCATGCATCTTTCTGCAACCCACATCATTTATTATCTCAAGCCCATTTTGGTGAAAAATGAAAACCATTAATAAGCCTCAAATAATTGTTTGCTAAGACATATAGAAATTTCAAATCTCACAATAATTGTTATTTTTTTTTATTTTCATGATTAATTCACGCAATGTTAAATTGATCGCTTTATAACATTAGTACGTACAATACAACGAAACCTAAATGTATCGTATATTACCAGATGCAAACATATCAAACAATAGTAATAAGATGTTCACGTTTATTGTGGAACTCCTTTTAATGTTTTAATTACGTCTAGCTGTCACTCCACAAAAAGACAATTTGGCCTCACATGATAAACTCATTACCCTCATGCAACAAGTAAAAAAAATACCAATAGAGGAGAACTGACATCCAGTGCATACATGACACGTGTCAACTATTCATTGTTAAAATTACACGTGGTTTCAGTTTTGAAGAATTAAATGCTTTGAAGAAGCGTTACTTTTTTTTGTATCTTAACATGCACAAAGACTGAAACTAATTTTTGAGATTTTTGAAATTGAATCACATAGTACACCACCAATGCAATGATGATGATGCCATAGACTCCAAATGTTTTTTTTTATATGGAAAACTAAGTAATTCAATAAGATAATTGATAGAAAGGGGGGAACTCATTAATGTTATTACCTTCCTATAAAAAAAAATTAATGTTATTACCTTGATATCTGGCTTCAAATGGTTATGCCACCTTTCTCTACATTGTTTTCCAATCCTGCCACCAAGCATCCTAGCAATTTGAGACCAACTCTTGAGTCCATGCTCGCCCACCAATTGCACCAGCATTCTGGAAAAAAACCATATGAATGAGATTGATCCCAAATAGACCATAGTAAAGATCAAATTAGAGAACTAACTTGTCTTCTTCGAGGGTCCATTGGCCTTTGAATGCAGATCTCTTCGAAGGCTGCCCTGATAAAGATGATCCATCTTTCCCCTTCATCACTAGCATTGATGTCTCTTCATCATTACTTTGCTCCTCTTGAATTTCTTGATCTTTCTCCATCGTGCCATCCTCGTCGATCCTTTTTAGGGAAGGATCATTGTTTAAATTGATCTCGTCGTTACGAGTTGGAATGAGCAGTTCGTGACTATGGTAATGGAAATGGTAGTGGTGATGGTGGTTGTTGTTGGTTGATGACGGTGAGAACCCCCTTGCTAGATCTCGAATGGGATCGGTACTCGAAGGAGAAGGTGGTGTTGGGAAGACGGACGAACACGATTTTGGTTTGTTTCGAGATGGGGTAGATGAAGAAGAAGGGAATCCTTCCGTGGAGAAGCTGTTAGCACCATTGCAGTAGTCGAGAAACCCATTGATTGGAGTTTGGTGGAGATGGTGATGGTGATCATCAATGTGAGGGAACTCGTCTCTCGTCAGTTTTGTGTTGAAGTCCATGTGTAAGAAGAGGATGAAAGAAGCACAGACAAATAATCGAGGACAGTTGATTTTTTTTATGGGTGGGAGAGAGAGAGGGGGAGAGGAGAAAAGGAAACAATATAATTATATGAGGAGACGACATGAAGAAAAAAAAATGTTGTTGGATTGATATTTAAAGAGATACTTAAGTGGGTGAGAGGTATGAAGAAGGATTGACTGTAACTACACGCATTAGTTCCATGCTCGTATCACTTTCATTTAATTTGCTTTGATGATTGTTCATCTTAATGCGCAATAGCGCAGGGTAGGGCTGGGAAAATAGACCAGACCGTTAGAAAAATCGTGGTCCAAACCGTACCCACAGTTTGGTCTGGATCGTAGACGGTTAAGTATGGTCTGGTCTGGTCCATGGTCTGTATTATTTTATGTTTTGATCTCTTGGTATGGTCTGGTCTAGACCGCGATTTACCGGACCAAACTGTGAACCCAACCGACTTGTCAATACGTGTTAATAGCCCATTCGATCACTCTCCCAACTCTCATAACGACACCCAAGTCTCAACCTTAATTTTGAGAATCTCGTCCCTCCTTCATTCACAACCACATTTAACCCGAGAGTAGAGATAATCGTATCTCCATATGACATTATGTTAATGTTTGGGGATGCTTTTACCTTGAATTTTGTTATGTACTAAGATTTAGGGTATCAAAATTATTCATGCATGTTAGGATTAATGTTTTGAGGCAAATAACAATTATTTTTCTTGGTTATTGATTAATTTTTTATGTGGTTGACTAAACAAATTATTCGTTTTTCTTTGAGTGTGGTCTATCTAGACCAGACCAAACTGAACCAGACCGCACAGGCGTGGTCTGGACCAGACCATATAGTCTGTGATTTATACTTCAGCCTCTCGGTCTGGACCATAGACCGTATATATGGTCTGGTCTGGACCAGACCGCACCGTTTTCCAGCCCTAGCGCAGGGAGAGAGGACATACGCAGTTGGCACTACCAAGAGGTTCCGACTCTCTTAAACGGCTCCAAGCAGCAGATCATCTTATGATTAGCATGTACATACTTGCAGGGTAATTTTTAACCGATTATTTCAACCGGCTTAGGGACGGAAATCAACTTAGAGCCATCACACACTCATACTTCGTAACAAAGCACGAAATTGTACAGGGTGTATACTCGAAGCATGTACATACAGTATTAGGGTGTCCAGTAGCCACAAACAAGGCTATAACTCGAACCACATGATCTATATGCATTACCCTCATTCGTTAGGGACAAAGAAGCCTCCTCAAACATATGCATCATGATCCTCGTAATAGAAGAATGAAATTTACCTTACACATTAAAACCTACAAGACTGCCTGAAGCTAAAACAGAAACCCTGATAGACGAACAGTCCGAAGAAAAGTACGTACAACGACTGAAAGGCGGTGTTCCAAAGAGAACCTAAACTTAATACAAACATGAACACATATTTCCGTCTCTGACGCCAAACTTCCACACTACATACACATGCCCATAGTTTACCTTCCAACCTTTAAACAGAGTTCACTAACAAAACAGAGTTCCCAAACTTAACAAATTTTCATCAAAGAGTGTAATTTGCCGTACTTCTGACACTCCCCATCCAAGATGACCTTCAGAGTAAGGGAAGTGTCGTACAAAAAATGGAATTACCACCGTCCTTGTTCAGATTCCTTTACCTGGTTAGTACTAGTAGTAGTAGTACTAGCGATAATACTGCTAATAGTAGAACACCCGAGATGCTTCTGTGTGGTGAGACCTGTTCAGACCTGATCATGTCTTCCTCGCCATCTTCCCCCCCGTAATCACTACATCTTCCCATCCATATCTAGGGACTTTTACCACCACCACCACCGTTCCTGCTACGATCCATCATTGCCATGTGAAAACTTCCACGACCGCCAGCAGGTCCAGGACTCCTACTCCGGCTGCGATCACGGCTCCACCCTTTACTAGCAGGGCGCTCGCTCCAGCTAGACCCCTTGTCCGGTCCTCCTCCATATCCATCACTAGGACGACTATCATACCTGTAATAAGAAAGTAAGTAATTAGTAAGAGTTACCATTTTCATATAGGGGTGAGCAGCAATGGCCAGTCCAATCAATAATCTGGCCGGATTGGCAAGAACATGAAAAGGGAAGTTGAGGACCAGAATACGAATGAAAGAGCATTCTATGCGATCTACTCCAGCCTGGTGTCAATTTAGTCCAACCAAAATCTTTTCTTTGGGCAATTGTAGGGAATCAGAACCAAATCCAATTACTACTTTTTTCAGTCTGAACTATCAATTCAATCCAGTCTAACCTAAAGATTGCTTACCCCTACAACACAAGCTTAGACAGGAGAAACTCTACAAATTTTGAATCCAGGAGGTGGTAGATGTTATAATCCCACATTATCGCTAAACTAAACCTTGGGTCTTTTAACTTCCTAGTAAATATTGAGGATGATAAGGTATAGTGTACCTGTTAGATGAACTAGGAGCCCAACTGCCCCTGCCGGCATCCCTCCCACCGAAACTGAAATCACCACGACCACCACCACCACGGCCACCAGAATCACGACCTCCACCATTGCCGTTACCCCATCGTCTATTTCTACCAAATCCCCCACCACCTCGCAAGGCCAAATCACGGATCTCCAGAGGAACCTTCTGGCTTGCACCCTCTAATACTTTGATGAGGTCTGAGGCATATTTGGCATCCTGCTCACCAAAGAATGTATAAGCTATACCTGTAGCACCAGCTCTTCCGGTTCTGCCAATCCTATGCACATAATCTTCCACGCCAGTAGGAAAATCATAATTGACAACCACCCTGCCAGAAGAAAAGAAGCAATTAAGTGAAATTGCAAATTCAAAGAAAAGGATCATATTTTTCACATTTAAAGCCAGAGAAAAATACAGACACAAGCATAGACCATGTTAATTATAATACCCTAGGTGGCACACGAAAAATACATTAGGAAAATCATTTACACACTCATCAAATCCTTCAAACTAGGGTAGGAACCTTCCGAAGTTATCTCATCACCCACGCAAGATCACCGAATCGTCATTCACCAAATCCCACAAAATAAGCGAGTGTCATCAAGCAACGGCAATTAAAAAATCAGAGGTTTATTCAAAGTACAAAGGAAAATGAAAGCGGTACCAACCTAATATCCTTTACATCCAGCCCCCGAGCAGCGACATCAGTAGCTACAAGCAAAGGAGCCCTCCCTGATCGAAACTGACTCAGCACATGATCCCTCTCACCCTGTGATTTGTCTCCATGGATAGCAGCAGCTCCAAACTGACGAGAAAGGTTACGAGCAAGTTGGTCGCACATTTTCTTGGTTGAACAAAAGATGATAACCTTAGATCCCGGTTCCTGGGAGCGTAGTATCTGCTCCAAACGCCTGTGTTTCTCCATGGATGCCAGTACCTCAACATGCTGCAAAAAGATCGTCCAATTTTCAGTCAGTATTTCAACACTTCTGCATGAACAAAATTCCTAGTAGGAAGACTCTGCAAATCATAAGTAGCAAAATTTTCATAGACCAACAGACCTGTGTGATAGACTTGTTTGCCACAAGCTCATCGACATTCCCAATATTCACTTGGACAGGATTGACCAGAAGATCTGCAGCAATTTTCCGAACCTCCTTTGGCCAAGTTGCTGTGTACATGAGGGTTTGACGACGGGAAGGGACCTCCTTAACTATCTTCCGTATTTGAGGCTCAAACCCCATATCCAGCATCCTATCAGCCTCATCAAGAACTAGGTATGATACCTGACCAAGGCTTACTCTTCTCATCTCCAGAATGTCATTCAGACGACCAGGAGTTGCAACAACTATGTCAGTTCCTCTGTCTAACTGACCTAGTTGTGGACCCTTAGGTGCTCCTCCATATAAACACTGAAATAAAGGACATGTTACAGATGCCAATTACATATAACTCTCCCAGGACAAATAATAGATAGTCGCACTACAAAGAATACCCTACACCCTAGACACCACACGCACACAAATATACTCTGCTACCAAGTGAGAAGGACTCGGTACCGAACTGCTATAAGCAAGCTGAACTGTAGAGCAGACAACTTGTATTAAAAAATAAATCAAAAAGGAAAGGCAAAAGTAGTTCACCGTGCAGCCAATTCTTGATGACTTCCCAAACTTCACAGCTTCTTCTTGAATCTGTGTTGCCAATTCTCTTGTAGGTGACAATACCAGGATAGTCGGACCCATTCGAGGGTCATTGCGAAGACGCTTGAGATGGAGAAAGGCAGGGATCAAGTAACCTAGGGTTTTACCAGAACCGGTTTTGGCAATGGCCACAATATCTCTACTCTGCATAACAACAGGCCATGACTGTGCCTGAATTGGAGTTGGGGCAGAGAACCCAGCACTGTATACCTGGAAAAAGAAAAAATCCAGCAATTTTCAATAAGGCCACGACTGGCTTCAAGATTTTCTGGTTGAATTCTTTTCAGATCTATGATGGAGTGAGTGGCTAATGGCAGAAGAAGCACCATCCCCCACATGCAGTCGTCAGCGCTTGCTAAATGCAAGCTCTAGCAGGAGGAGGCCTCTTCTTCTGATATTGACCGAGTGGCGTGCTATATCATCACCAATTGGCAGTAACAGCCACGAACTTTGGGGATTCGGAAAGCCCTTCTCAAAATTTGTCCAGCAAAATAAGGGCGCTCCAAATTACAAGGGACCCCCAAAGAAAGGGCAACACAGCGTACGACATTAGCTCCACCAGGAGCAAATATCGCACCTGCGACAAAAAAGTACATTGCAACAAATTATTAATGAGCATTGCGGTCCCCAGCTATTAGAAAATCTTAGCACATGAAACCGCAACTTCATAGTTTCATTAACTTACAAACTCAAGGTGATATGTTTACTCAGCCAAGATAGAATGAAGAAACTGAAAAATAAATCCATACCTCTCTTAGTAACTCGGAAGGGAACCCAGTGGCTTCAAATGACATAAGAGGTGGTGGCACATCACCCCCCTGCAAAACAATCGTAATAAAAGATCAACAACTATAATCTCAATCTTGAAGAATACTAGTCATTTACAATCACAAAAGAACAAATGACAAGTTCAAGTTTCTGCATCCTTAATTAAGGAAAGAAATACGAATCCTGTAAAAAGTTAAGTTAACTGATAAATAAAGTTTGCCATTCCATATTCTTATCACCCAGGACTAAGTTGGGTTCACAAATGTCTAGATGCAGATGTTTCAGAAATCAAGAGAGAATTTTTAATTTGCCTTATTCATGCAACTGACTATCAATTTCTCATTTTTCGGATCTGATTGCAGCAATCGACCAGGTACCATTTTTCCACAGGAATTAATTAATGAAGGAGAATCGTTACTCAATATCAGGTTGAGTACTACTGAATACATATACAAGGAATACATGACAAGGTAAAAATCACTCTGAGACCAAGAACAATAGTTAGATGGATAGATTAAAGTAATAAGGTACAGCAAGCTGACTCACTGTGACAGTAATTTCATGGCGACGCCTGTATGCCTCTGCTGATAAACTGTTTCCACCTGCTGAGGGTGCAGGTCCTCTGGCAGCAAATCCAACAGAGTCATTGATTGTTCCATTTTGTGAAACCAAACTTCTTTCATTCTGAGGGGTAAAAAAAGCACAGTAGCCAACGAAAAGCACAAATTAGTATAGAACTTATAATTCTAAACTTCACCTCTGTTTCGGGGGAGAAGATAATGGCAATACATAAAACAGAAAGCACGTAGAAGCCACAAGTTATTTTTCAATAATCCAAAGTTCTCAGAATGTGATACGTGCACCATCCCCCAAAACCCAAAAGAAAACAAAATACATGATCCTATCTACAAATGGGAAAGGAGAAATCACTTCCAAGAAAGACAACAAGAACTTCACATTTGGGCTAACATAAGTGGGAATGGCAAGTTAACACGGACCTGGATACTCCTTGCTACAGTTTCAGTTCTAGTTGGTGCACCATTGCTACTCCTCCCATACCTATCATCTTCTTTTTCAGGACTATACGCACGGCGAGAAGGCTGCTGTACCTGCACTGAGGAATTGATGGGCACCGAAGGTGGCTTGGATGGAAGAGATGGTGCAGAAGGCTTCTCGTATTGTGTCACATTAGTTTCTGGGTTCCAATAATAAAGGTACCCAGTTTTGCCATCAACCAATCCTCTCCAGGGCTTGGGAAGTGTAGGGTCTTCTGGCGCAAACCGGGGAGCAGCAGCAGTAGCAGCAGCCATGTCGATCGAAACCAACAACTTTGATACCACAACCAAACTACATGCAACCAATTCAGCAAAAGTATTAGATATGTACACCAAATCCGCAAGCAAACATTCAGAGATATAAAACATCTTACAAACATTTTCAGATATATATATATAACATCTCACAAACATTCATTTCCAAGAACATTCAAACAATGAACTGCCTTGTGATTATTCAAATTAACCGAGGTCGTATCAGAACAAAATCAAACAGATATACACACCAAAACAGAAAGCAATTATCCTAGTTCCGTCTAGTAACTGAGACAACAACCGTTCCAGCCTCATTCTTATCGGAAAAACCAATACATGAGAAGTATGCCTCCAATTCAACGTTTAATGAACCATACCTTCATCTATCGGCCATATAAACGCAATACACAACCCTAATTTCCCCTCATGGACCCAGAAATCAAAAGAACCACACAAACCCTACCGAATCGTACAGCAGAAAACCCTAGGATTCTACCGCCGGCCAGAGGGAAGCCAACGAGATAAGGAAGGGAAAACCAACAACCACGAGCACGGAAGAAGAATCAGATCTGAGACATGTTAACCGAAATGGGAAACTTCAAAAATGCTTGATGAAATCGAAATCGGAGAGAGGATCGTACCGGAAGAAGAAGAGATCGATTGGTGGCGAGATTCCACGGACGGCAGGTGTGGCTATGAGAAATTGGGGCGGCTGGAAACTGCCCAGAGCTTTTTCGTCGTCGTCTATATATTTGTTTCTCTCTCTCTCGATTTTGCCTCTTTCGCTCGCTTCTCTCCCTTAGTCCGCAGAGGGGACGATACGCGGTGCAGAGGGAGGAGATGGAGCTAGAGAGATGGAGAGAGAGTGCGGGAGAAGAGATGGTCTACGCGCAAGTTCTGATATTTATAACCGGGAAGATGGCTGGAGTTTGCTGACGTCACTTTCAGATATTTAGAAAAGTTTGTGACCTGACTGGTGCCCGCCGGTGTAGTTCTTGGCTGAACGGCGGCAGCTTGCCAATGCCACTGAACCGACTGACATGATACGGTATTGTTAATGGGTTGGTTTTGGTAATCATGGATTTTTAGTTAGACTGAGAGTTTTTCATGATGTGTGATCGATTAACAGATGAAAGAAATTTTGTTAATGAAGTTTTTTTTTATGATGTGTGATCGATTAACAAATGAAAGAAATTTTGTTAATGAAGCATTTTTTATGATGTGTGATCGATTGATAGATGAAATTTTTTCATTTATAAAAGTTTTTCATGATTCGCGATCGATGAAAGATATTCGTCAATAAAGAAATTGGCATAATTCAAAGTAAATCATATTTCTATTTAATGTATTTCACTTTGCTTTATGTCATGACTTTCATTTCTTTTAAGTAAATGGTGTAGTGTATGAATCGCTATAATTAGCATGGTTGGGAGCGCTTGTTTATCTCCACCCAATCAATGTCGAGGAAACTAGTGTTACCTGAATATATAATGGGTATGGAAACTAACTTTGAAAGCTATCATTGTATCTATGCTAAATAAATCTTGATATCTGTTGTTTCTTTGCATTGTCGACTTACACAAACAACCAATATGTAGTTGTTGTGATAGACAATTTGAATACGAAAAGAGCGATGGATCTGCGATTACTCTAAAAGTTTGGGCTCGAGTGTTTGCATCTTTGCTAATAAATACATAAATTCCACGGTCTAAGTAATAAGTGTATTTTCTTATATCTTACAAATGGTTGACTATTCCTGTGATGTTATACTTATTACTCTTATTTTGTTAGTTGATTGCTTCCACTTTGAACCATGAATGCTATTGTTCCCATAAGAGGTTAAATAGTAAACTTAGTGATGTTTAACTGAAATATTGAAGTGATTTTCTTGATATTAAATGTTTCATTACTTGATGATAACTAGTTAGTATTTGGTTGTTAAATGTTGTCAACCTTGAACAATGAATGTTGATTCCCCACTATCTTTTTCAGGGAAATATGTGCAATTTCAAACAACTCATCCTTGAGACCTTGACCTAACAGCCAACTATTTTACTTATGTTTAAATTAAATATAATGTTAACGATGTTCTCACTCTTCGCTTTATTCTTCTCATAAAAAGAAAAGAATAAAACATAGGGATTCAATTAGGAGATTTACACAAACACACGAACCGCATGGGAAGTTCTTATAACATTGAGGAGGCAGATAGTAATTTTTCCATTCAAACCCAGGGTACCTAGTGCCTACTATCCACATTCCAGAGACTACAGCTTCCTGCTTCTACTTCAGCTTGGCTCTGGTGCGACCATGGCGGCCTATCCGGCTTCCGTAGGTTCTTCTTCTTTACTCCGACGAGCTCTCTTTCTTCCCATTTCCCATCCCCGTCCGTCGTTCTTCCAACTCTTCTCAGCTTCTCGCTTCAATTGCTCCACCAGCACCACTGCCGTTACCCGCCCAAAACCACCAATTTGCGTGGCCGTTCGCGGTGGCCAGACCAAGCGAGGTGGGTCCTCGTCCAAGAACGACGAACTAGCTACTGGTAAGAAACTCCCTAAGTACTATATGAGCTAGTGGCGATTGACTTTGCTTTCGATTTGTCTCACTCTTCATTTGTCGGGGAATCTTTTTTACTAGCTTCTGATCTTCAATTCGAGACGCCGCTTAAAATTGTCGAGTACCCAGACCCTCTACTGAGATCGAAGAACAAAAAAATCGGTACTTTTGACGAGAACTTGAAGAAATTGGTAGACGAGATGTTCAGTGTTATGTACAAGTAAGTTTCTCAACAGTTCCAAAATCCAAATGCGAAAAGAACTTCTTGGTTTTGGTTTTGGAAGCTCTTGTTTCTGGTTTCACTATGCTGAATGCATATCAATCTTCGCTGGTGCTTTTTTGATTAAGCAATGAGATAGGATAAAAATTGAAACTTGTTGGTATTCCTTATTGGCAGAACTGATGGGATTGGACTGTCAGCACCCCAAGTAGGAGTGAATGTTCAGCTAATGGTTTTTAATCCTGCTGGTGAACCGGGCGAAGGGGAGGAGATTGTGCTCGTTAATCCGAGAGTTAGTAAGATCTCAAAGAAGAGGGTGCTTTTCAATGAAGGATGTCTTTCCTTTCCTGGGATATATGCTGATGTAGAGGTGGGTATTCTTTTATTTGTCATTTGTCTTTCTGAGTGCTACCATGATCATAAGTAGTACATAAGTTGCAGTGTGGGTAACTCAAACTTTCTTTGTTTTGTTCTCTCACAGAGACCTGAATCTGTAAAAGTTGATGCTATGGACATTAATGGTGCAAGGTTTATTATCAGCTTGTCGGAGCTTTCAGCTCGGGTTTTCCAGCATGAGTTCGACCACTTGGAGGTGCTTCATATAGTCAACAGTACAGCTTTATTACCTTTACCATAAAATATTCAAATCTTGAATGAATTTTTTTTCTGTTTTTCAAAAGTGGAGTGCCATGTCCTTTGTTAGCTTTGATGAAGTTGTACATGTGAAAGTATATTCTATGGACACCTGAAACTCGAGCAATTTTTTTTTCCTGTGAATCAAATGATTACATAAAGTTGAAGCTCCTAGTACTCTTGATTTACGGTATCAGTCATTTGGCGTCAAGTATGAATCTGTTGGCTGAGATGGCTTCACTTGCAGGGGATTCTTTTCTTTGATAGAATGACAGGAAAAGTACTCGAAACTATTTTTGCAAAGCTACAGGTCAGTGTAAGAATGACACTGATTACCAAGCTTATGGTTAATTTCCAGTCATCGCAATTGCTTACATTTCTTTTTTCTTTTACTGCATTTGTCAGGCCTTAGAAAAGAAGTACGAAGACAAAACTGGACTCGCTAGCCCTGAAAAGGTACAAGCACCAATAAAAAGAGTTGCTGTGGGCTTTGGAAAGTCATGATTTTGTACACTTGGCCTAGGCAGATAAATCAGGTATCATGGAAAGCATAAATCAGACCTAACTTTCATTTACCTGTTTCTTTCTATCTCTTATGTCACTTGGTCTAACTATGTGAATTTCGAACCCCAGGTTCAGTTTGATGTTATTCTTATCGTCATCAAAGCTTCTGCCACTTCTCTATGCCACGCTCAGAAACTATGTAGAGCTGGCAAGTGGACCTAGCATCACCATGCTTTGTGAGATAGATTGTTGGTTAAAAGTGATAGGGTAATTTAGTTGCTGGTATGGAAATTCTAGGTTCTGGGGTCTGCAGATATATTGAATATGCTATAGGCTCTTGTACCAATATTCTGAAATAGTTGTTGGAAGAACACATTTTTCTGAGGACCAGTTGCTGTAATATCATCTGTTGTTTTATTGCACGTTCTTTTTCTTACATTTCTTTGTAACCATTGGAAAAACATATCTAACACTTTAATCTGATAGAAAGAACACAAACTTTATCTACTTCTACGTCTAGTATTCACTATTCAGTAATAATGCATGCAAGCTTTCTAAAGTAGTACTGATTCACTTTTTTGCTTCTGGCTAACATTGCCTACTTCATTGGTACATACGCATTATGTATCATTCAATACATGTTGCCACCTTGCAACACCAGGCTAAGCCAAGCAACCGTAAACCGGAGGTTTCACTTTGCCTTTTCTCAGGCATGTAACTGGAGGAACAGTGATTGTTTCAAGTTCCCCATATGCATTCAAGCAGTAAGGCTGTTCAGTTTCTTTCCTTGAAGTGAGCTCTATATTACTCAGGGATACCCCACTGCAAGGCATGCTGTCACTACAGGCAAAGTGCACAGGTTTTACTGTGTACGTGCCTTTTATGTTCACATAGTTTATTGCAGATACAGAGACTGCCGACGAGTCATTTCTGCAGTGCTCTTTGTCACAGTAGAATTGGTCGATGACTATGGGGGTTTCAACTCCAGAAACTTGAATGTTGGAGAACATGATTCCCTGGACCGAGCCTGAGCCTCCCTGCAGTTGATCATTGAAAGAAAGGTCAGTTGCTTGATTCAATAGCCCTGAAAGTTCATTGATTATAGATGGCGTTGGCTAATGTGTCAGTTTGGTGGATTGGGTTTCGTGAGATTTGGGTTAAATGGTTTATTGACTAACAATGATGTTACCTACCTGCCATGTCTTTATTCTCACTCCGGTTAGTGTATTCTGAATCTCCACATCTCTCACAGTGATGTTTGAAACACAGGCTTTGCTGCCGTCTTTTCCCAGTCCTCCTATGCTGATTCCATGCCCAGGTCCACACCTCACATTGTGTATATTTACGTTAGAGCATCCTGTTTGTATCGAGATACAATCATCCCCTGTTCAAGCCAACCGGAAAGAATGTAGTCAAATAACCATTTTTTAAGTCTTCTATTAGGTTATATGCATAAAATGATTTGGCAATTACCGCACTGAAGATCAGTGCTGTAGATGTTGACATTTCTGGAGTTCTGCAAGTGTATGCCATCAGTATTCGGGCTGTTACCCGGAGACGATGCTGTAAACCCAGAGACCTCAACATTTGTGCAGTCATCAAACTTGAGGTGGGTTTGAGGGCTGTTTTGAATGGTTATGCCAGAAACTGTGACGCCAGTGCTCCCGTAAAACCTGACTGCCTGCATAGATACGGCAAATCCATGACCTCTCTCTGTCAATGATCTCCCCATACTTGAACCAAGAAGAAATATCGGCAGGATGATTTTACTTACTGTTGGTTTGGTGCTGCTGTGTAGCTCACTAGCTAGCTGTTGGGAATCAAATTCAAGTTAAAACCGGAAACTAAGAAGCTTTTGAAGTAGCAGGGTTTGAGCTTGTTTGAGGTTCATAAAGAGAAAGTTTACATACCTCTGCTCCTGGATTATATTCTGGTGAGTCGTACCACCAAGCCGAACCTTGTCCTTCAATTATCCCTGTTCCTGTGATTGTGATCCCCTGGAGTTTTGTGAACTCTATCCACTGTAAAAGCCTTGTGCTACTCCATAATTCTGAACTGACTATTGCTTTAATTTCACCGTCCAGCTGCAAATAGACCCAAATAGAAGTTTCTTTATTGCATTGAACCCTCACAGAAAAATGGAGTTCTTTTAGGAATCTTACTTGAGATTTACCTGAAATATGAGGTTGGATGCGCAGTCTGGACCAGAAAAGGAGATGGGTTGAAGAAGGAAAACATAGCCCGATGGAACCTCAATGGTTGATCCTTCAACTTGACAAGCCTCTGCCCATGCCGACTCGAATGCCTGCATTTACATCAACCAGTTCAGGTAATCATTTTCTTGTGGCCAATTTCGTCTTATTTTTGTGGTTTAATGTTCAAGTTGTACTCTCAATTAGCTTTTAGGGATGGCCATTTGATGTTTTGATCAAATCGGACCAGAAGAAAGTAGAATACGGTTTGGTTTTGACTCTCAAATTCAAGAATTTTACTCGATTGACCAAATCAAATCGAATACGCAGTTGATTTGGTTGTGGCCCAATCCTGGACCGGACTGCACCATGCCCATCTCCCTTAGTTTGTAATCTTTCTTAGTGTGTTAAAAGATACGTCATTTTTCTTAAAATAGCCCAAATTAGAACATCAAAAGACACAACCAAGTCATCTAGATGTCACTATTTGCTGCTGCTATATTGAATTTTACCAAAACCCATATGCTTAGGGACCAACAGGGAAAAGCAAAAAAGAAAGAACATGGTAGACAAAAGGGAGAGCTTGGAGAAAAGTGAAAAAAGACAGCACCTTTGTGTCATCAGAATGACCATTGCCTTTAGCACCATAGTCCAATACACTGAAGACATTGCCCTTCTTCTTTCCTCCTTTTGGTTGTGCATCCATTTCTCCATCCTCCCACATATGGCCATCATCCCCCATGAAGTTTGACATTCTTAGACTTCGGCCGTGGCCGCCACGACCAACAGCTTGTTTTTGCTTGCCTAACCCTTTATCACCATGACAAGTTCCAGCTCTGGGAGAGCAGAGGAATGATGCAATGATGAGGGTGAATGCAACATTATAGAACCTCCCCATCTTAATATTGGAAAGAATAGATGCTTCTTGCTTTTTGGAGTTTCTGCAGGTTTGTAGGTAGGATAGGAACCTATGTTTGTTTATATAGAGGGAATATCAGAGTTCACGGATAGGAGTACAAGAAAACTAATAGGTTACTGTTGGTGCATGAGATGAACAGTACTTGTGAGCATGACAAAAACAGAAAATTCTCTTTGTTTAATTATTTAGGTTGATGACTTGTTCTTGGTGAATTATTTTATGCTTCTGAATTCTGTTACTCTGATTCGGTTAGTTACTTGCATGACCGAACTGTCTGATTACCCCAGACATTAAACTATGCCCTCCCTTGTTCTAATCTCCTTACTTCTTATTTTTATAGCGAGTGACTCTTTGCCGAAGCAAAGGAAGAACCCCCCATTCATAATGATCATGGATTTGAAGCAGGCAACTTGGTCGATATCCCTCGTAGGTCGTATTCTCCTCAGTAGCGACTACACGATTTGAACCATTGAGCCACACCCTTGAGGGGTAAGTGATCTCTTTATTCCCTAAGTCATCTTTCTTTTAGAATCTACCAAATCACTTGGATTAGAAGTGATCTTCCTGAGTAGATATGAATATGGAATGCTCGTCATGTGGCGGGAGCTAATTGGACCTTGCATTATTAATCAGAAGTGTAATGACTATTATTTGGAGGTCTTGTTAAAACATGCAAGCAAGTACAGGTATATAACAAAAGACGTGAGATCATCTAACAGTGCAGGGTTTATATTATTATGTCAACTGTCAGACATGAAAGACAGCCGTGTTTTTTCCTTCAACTATTTGAGACCATTATAGACGGGTAATTAGGGGATAATGAAAGCGATTAGATAAACCCAAGCAGGGCGGCAATAGACATGGGCAAAGATCTTTCCAAAAGATTCTGCTGAAATGACAGACCATGGAGCTGGCAAAAATAGGGAGGGAAGGCTGCTAAATCTGTAGTTCTGATTGCTCCTGGAAAGGCCACCCAAATCTGATAATTGCCACGGTTGGGATAATCCAGCTTGATTGCCTTCGGTTCGGTTTAACTCTGCCTTTTGGTTCGGTTCACTTCTCGTGCCTGGGTATTTCTGGTTTGACTGTTGGATCCTTGATATCAGGCTCATTTGGGTTTCTACAGGTTCCTATGGGACAATGCTGATCTCCTTATTCTAGCATTTCCTGGTCTGTTTGTAATGCAAGCATTTCAGGGGTTTTCTATGGCTGGACTTGTACAAGCAACATTCTGACGACGAAAGACAGACCAGGAAAAGGGATCCATCCTGTCATGAAATTCTTCTCAAGCAACAAGATACTATTTACTACTGGTTAGATTAGGTACCGTTGTTTGGTAATTAATTATTGTTAATCCATCTCAATCAGCCGCAAAACGAAATCCGTGGTTTTGCGCCTTTGCGGCATATCCGTTATTCCGTTGGGCACATTGGTTTCAATCGTACTGTTCATCATGTGAGTCTTTCTTGGGCCTACATGGATTCTGCCTACCAAAATAGATCATTGTTCAATCGAGAAGTTAGCTAATAGAGTTAGGTACCAGATGCAGAATCTATATTGCTGGAGAAGGTACACAAGAAATTCTATATTATTATGGAATGTAAACGGAGTAACTAATATATGTGTTTGACGCTTAAACGATCGTAATATTATTTTACTTACGAGATTTACTCCTCATAGTAACATATCGGATATTTTATGAGAAATCATGTAAGTCTAACGTTGTCAACTTAATTATAGCATAGCAGACAACTCAAGCTGTGTTCATAATCACTGTTGTTGTTGTTGGGGAGTATGTCACCCTCACCTCATCGTCTATGTTAATTTACAATGTTAAAATGATATTTGTTTAGCTTAATCAAGGGTATGGCTCAAGTTTAAGAGTCATTTAACAAGATATCTCTTACGTTGATAACTAGTCTATACCGATGATAGTAATTATCCTCTCGTCATGGGTAAATGTACACAACGTCAAACAACTAATCATAAAATCGACTTCATTTTTGTGAAGAATATTGATGAGATTGTGAATCGACTAATCAAGACAAAGTGAGATCGAGACGGTTTGGTTGGATATTGGTTTGTCAACCCTTGAATTGCATTTGTTGGGGTTATTGGTAGCCCAAACATGCAAAGGCCTGAATCAATCATAGAGTTCAATAATTCACACCAAACATGAAAACAAAGCCCATCAGCCCAATAACAAAATGCCCTCGATCCCATTATTATCTAAATTCTGGGAAAGCTAATTAGCGAAAAAGTGCAATCAGAATGTAATTTGTTAATAAAGAGAAGGACAATAAATAAGGGCAGTTAAGGAACTAAAAAATTAAAAACTTGCTCAGAGAAAGAATGAGAAAGAGACAAATTAGTAATCTCTCTCCTTCAAGCAAATACAATAGTATCCCTCATAATTGAGGAGAGAGCAAATGAAACAAAACTCAAATAAACACATCATGTGATTGTTTGCTTGAAATTTTTTGAAAAGAGAGTATTTTTGTTCTTTTACTATGGGAGGAAAAGACCAAAAAATAGTGATGAATTGCATTTGTGGTCATGGTAATTATCATTTTACTTCTTTTTTCATTACATTTTATCATTTGACATCAATTTTTCTTCAATTTTACATCTTACAATTCCACGACTTAGATAACGATACATAAATTTTCCTCTCATAATAAGCATGAATTAAAAAATTAATAATTCAATAAATTCGACATGATTTAAAACGAATATGAAGGACAAATTCATCGGGCAAGTTGTATAAAAAATACCAACCACTTCCCACTACAGACTCCCGTTTTGTTTTATTTTAAAATTTACCTTAGAAGGTTTCTCTTTTTTGTTTCAGTAAATCATTTGATTTTTTTGCTCCTTTTCAGAATATTCAAAATGCTCACAAATTTGTACTCTTTTACCATATGTCCGATCCCAACTTACAATTTATCCGAAACACAAGGATATAATCGTACTTACAATTGATCATTTTCCTTTCATAAAATAGTGAAAATGATAAGTGGTTTTTGCTATCAAAGAAATGTGGCACGATATGATCGAACGAAATAAGTCTAGTATGAGTGTAAATTTTGGATAAAATGGATGGCAATTCTTGGGACAGCTAAAGAAAAAAATAATTATAATTTTTCATTTTTATATTTAAAATAAGAGATAATAGTACTCTCTCCTCAAACTTTTTATTCATATAAATTTGGATGAATTATACTCGAGATCACTAAAAATATCATATTACTTAATATTTATCGTTGAAATTGCGAGAAAATAGGTAACATTAATTTGTCCATTCAAATTCACTAACTCTATCAACTAACGGCTAAAAAAAACATCTTCTCATTTTCATATCGCCGAGTTTTTCATTTCTTATCTTACACTGCCGCCACTAGCCCACCGACATCGTCATGACAATTGACAGATAAGACAATTATTTGTCACATATCTAACCAACTTCCGAGAAAAAAAATTAACATTTATTTTGTTTTCTTGTTTACCAAAACTATTTCGGCATAATTTCTACGTTTATAATAAGAGATAATAGTACTCTCTCATCAAAACTGACAAAACAAGACAATTGTGATCATGATAATTGAGGAGAGAGAATACAATCTAATGGAGTCCAAAACAAACAAATAAGGGTGTTGCAAAATTCAATAGAGTCTAAAGAAACAAACACACCATGTGGCAGTGAATAGTGATTGTTTGCTTTCAAAGTTTTAATATTTATTTGGAGTTTCATCATATTGCTTGCTTGGAAGGACAATAAAAATTCTATAAGATGGATCTTCTTAAACTTTTTATTCATATAAATTTGGATGAATTATACTCGAGATCACTAAAAATATCATATTACTTAATATTTGTCGTTGAAATTGCGCGAAAATAGGTAACATTAATTTGTCCATTCAAATTCACTAACTCTATCAACTAACGGCTAAAAAAAACATCTTTTCATTTTCATATCGCCGAGTTTTTCATTTCTAATCTTACACTGCCGCCACTAGCCCACCGACATCGTCATGACAATTGACAGATAAGACAATTATTTGTCACATATCTAACCAACTTCCGAGAAAAAAAATTAACATTTATTTTGTTTTCTTGTTTACCAAAACTATTTCGGCATAATTTCCACGTTTATAATAACAAACATGAAATAAATAAAAGATATCAATAACAATTAATGTAATTTTGTCACATTCAAAATTAACAAAAAAGTAAATTCATCTATTGGACAATGAACACTAATTGCATAAGACATCGCCAACCACCCCACTATATCGAAATGTCCATGTCTTGGTTTTATCATTCACGAGCCTTTCTCCTTTGAAAATCAATATAAGTAAAGTGTTTATATATATATTTTTAACTAGTTTGATATATTCTTACATATTTCCCCAATTTTTCCAATATCTTCACTGTCAAAAGTAAAAATAAAATCCCATTCCCAATTTCCAATTTGTTCGAGTAATATGGCAATTACCCACCTAGCCTTTCAGAAAATAAGAAAAGGATGGAATTGTAATTGTCACTTCACCCCACCTGACAATCTTCAGTCTTCACAGTGGTCGTAGAGCCGTAGCTGCGGAACGCCGGAATCCGTTTCAATTCAACAAAAAATTCATTTGACGCCAATTTTTTTTTGCTGTTCCCCCTCTCTAGAGAGAGAGAGAGAGAGATTCCACTTGTAGAAAACTGTACACCCCTTTTACCGATTCCCCCCTGCATGTCTCACCTTCTCCAGTCGCCGATTCTACGCGCAAAAGAGATGGGGCTCTAGGTTTCTGCCTACTGCGAACGCCGAAGGAGAGAGCCGTACGACATTCCACCGACTAGGGATTTTCACCGGGGAAGAAGGTCGCTCCCCTGCCCCTTTTCCGGGCCTCACGAAATTCCGGCTTTCTCGTCAGGTACGAACAAATTTCTGATTCCTCGCCCGGTGAAGAGAGTTGCTAGCAGCAGAAGGCTGAAGTCTCGGGGTGTTTTCTTCTTTTTTCTAGGGTTCGCGGAAGATTTTGCTCCTTTTGTTTCTGTTTGGGGGGAGGAGAAGAAATGGTGCTTCTGGAAGACGATGATGATATCTGCTGGAACAGTGATGACGAGCGGGAGATTGAGGCTTACGGTGCTCCACTGTCACCGTCGAGTTTTCAGATTAGTGCGGCTGTGACTGGGAGAGAACAGGTTCGTTTTTTTTTTAATAATTTATTCCTTCGGTTCACATTCTGCCGGCACAAATTCTTTGACCTGCCACCCGCTTTCCTGTTCTTCTCTACCAATCGCTCCTTCATAATTCCGGCTTTGATTTCTATTGCTTGGCATTTCCTGTCCAATTTTGCGGTTAACCGTTTTCCAGTAGAGTTCTTCGAATATGGTTCTGTATTATATTTTTGCATATATGCTGTTATATGGCTGGGAATTAATGCAATTAGATATAGCACATACTGGAAATTAATTAGAATTTGATTGTAATTAGTGTTCTATATACAGGCTGGGTATTGGATCGATTCTTTCCTGTACTATTTCTCCAAATGCCACTGCACATGATAGAGTGTGTGCTTGTTGATTCATCGGCAAGAGATTGATGAGTTTGTTTGAAGCTTAGTTATATAGTGCAGGGCTCTGCTGGTCAGAAATAGAGGGGCTAGCTTTCCGCTCCAAGTTATATGCTTTGAGTGGTTCTCTGCTGATATATGCAGTTTCTGTCTCTTTCTTGTGAGCTTGGTTCTTTTTTGTCAATTGAATTGGAGCATACTACCTTTGGTTCGGTTCATTCTAAGAAATTCCAAGCTCTACTAGTTACCTAGTAGGTTAATTCGTTGAATTACAATTCCTTTTTGTCGTGGAAGAGGGGCGGAAAGAAGTAAGGTTCACCTTTTACTAACTGTTTCATAGCTGGAGTTCGTTGTTCAAGCGTTAGGGCTGTTTCCACCATTTCGTTTCTCTTGTTTGGATGGGTATTTTGGGTAAAAGGAGTCTGCTGTTTGTTTTTAGCATGATTGACTGAGTATTATCCCCCTCCTCAGGATGCCTCCATGGTGGGTTCCTCTGGCACTAAATTGATGGATCGGTTCCTCAGAATGGGGTTCCCGGAGAAACTGGTGTTTGAAGCTATTCAGGAAAATGGTAAGTGATATTTTAAGGCATTTCTGTGTTAATGTTGTGGATTAGTTGTATGTTTCTACACGTTCAGGCTTTAAGTTTTCTGCCTAATTGGGTTTTCAGGGGAGGAAAATGAAGATGCGATTCTTGAAACTCTTCTGAGGGAAAGCCCATCCTCCTCGAGCCCTGCTGACAGCTCTAATGGCTCCAAGGTGATTGATCACTTTGTTGGCATGGGTTTCTCCAAGGAGATGGTTGCCAAAGTGATTCAGGAGATCGGTAAGAGATTTTGGCATATTTGTGGTAATTTTCACCATTGAAAAAAGCTTTTCTTGTTAGATCTTAACCTTACTTTACTATATTCTCAGGGGAGGAAAAAACAGACTCTATATTGGAAACTCTGCTCACATACTCGGTAAGGACAGTCCTGTTTTATGTACAATTTTCAATATTGGGACTGTATGATGTCTGGTCGGTGCAGTGTTACTGTGTCTCTTTTTTAATAAGTTTTGCATCTAGCTTTAGTGACGAGGAAATGCATAAGGTAGTTAGCAACATTTTGGGAATAAAAGGGGGTCTTTTGAATGAGGAAGAGAGAGCGGTGTAGGGAGTCCAGGGATCATTCCCAAATCCAATATTGGAGCCATCTACAGGGAGTGTCCAAGAAAAAGCAGCTGTGGTGGAGTATGTCTCTCCATAGATATGGTGCACCTGTGGAGAAGCTCCATTGAATGCGCCAACCAAATCATTCCTACATGGATTTGATGGTGTAGTGAGACTGTGCCACCAGGCTGTTTTTTCTGTAGTGAAACCCAGAGACTAGTTAGAGAGAAGTGCTTGGTTCATAATTTAAATCCAAGATGCAGACTCTGCTCTGGTCGACTGGAGCTTTGAGGGTGGGCCTAGGGAGGATGTGAAATCTGAGAGATATTGAGTCAACCAGCCCATAGGAGTCGACTAATGCCCTTCCGCTTTACAATTGCCTCTGTTGCAGGTGGATCTTGATTTGTTGGCACTTTACATGAACATAGAAGCAACCAGCTTGTAGTCATGAAATTTTCTGTTACTCTTTGTATAGGATTACCAATTACCAGCATTGGGTTTTGGATGATTTCTGATTCTTACTATGCGAAAAGAAGGATGGCTGATGGCTCATTTTGCCCAATTTCTTACAGGCCATTGAAGAACCTGCTGAGGATCAGCCTACTCTGGACTCTGATGCTGAATTTGAAGGAAGCTTTCTGGATGAATTTTCAGATATTGATAGTTGTGAGAGTGAGGTACCTGCTTTGATTGTTTTACACTACTCCATTGAAAAATATTTGGGAACAGAATCCTGTCAGCTGATGTTTATTTTGTATGAATAGTCCTTGAACACATGACTCTTATCTTTCAGGTTAATGTAAAAATCGAGCCTGATGAAGATGACACTGTCTCTTCCCTTGTAAAGATGGGATACACATCAATCGAGGCTGCAAAAGCAATAGAGAGATGTGGTATGTGTAATTGTATCATGCCACCATGGTTTTGTTTTCTTTTTTTTTGGGAGAAAGCTGTTGAGTTGTCAGTATTAGATTATAACTTGGAAAACACTAGATATAGTGGTGCTTTCCGGAAAGAGCTGAATGAATTGATCTTTGTCTTCTAATTATTTTTGGTATAATAATGTCTTGTGTTGGGATTTTCAGGTCCAGATGCCACAGTGGAGATGCTCACTGATTTTATTTGTGCTGCTCAGATGGCAAGGGAAGCAGATGCTTTGTTCCCAGATGAAGAGGTGATTCTTTTCCTCTTAACACCATGAGGTTTCCTTTCTGTTTCTGAAACATTTTGATAAAATATCTGGTTTCTCTTTGACTTATTATGCTTGTTGATCTTGTATTTGGTCAGTCGAAGCCAAACTTGTTGAATAATAAGCTGAAGAAGAGGAGCTATCTGGACAGAGACCTTCAGCGGAAAAAACAGAGGATGATCACTTCTGAAGATGATGAGATTCTCAGCCTTCCAAACCCGATGATTGGCTTTGGTCTCCCTGGAGACATACCTCGGAAGATTCATCGGAAGATTCCTGCTGGACCTCCCTACTTCTACTACGAGAATGTAGCTCTAGCTCCGAAAGGAGTCTGGCAGACGATTTCACGTTGTCTCTACGACATTGAGCCAGAGTTCGTAGACTCAAAACATTTCTGTGCTGCTGCAAGGAAACGAGGCTACGTCCACAACCTCCCCATTGAAGGACGATTTCCACTTCTTCCTATTCCTCCACAGACCATTCACGATGCTATCCCCATTACAAAGAGATTTTGGCCCAGATGGGATCCTCGTGACAAGCTCAACTGCTTGCAGACCGCATATGGTAGCGCCAAATTGACCGAGAGGATCCGGAAGGCGGTTGAGCAGTACGATGGAGATCCGCCAGAAAAGATTCAGAAGTGGGTTATGTACGAGTGCCGCAAGTGGAATCTCGTTTGGGTGGGGAAGAACAAGGTTGCACCACTTGAGCCTGATGAGGTTGAAAGTCTACTGGGGTTCCCAAAAAATCACACGAGGGGTGGAGGGATTAGTAGGACAGACAGATACAAGTCGCTCGGCAACTCGTTCCAGGTCAGTAGCTACTGTTACTTCTTGGAATCTTTTGTATTTATTAGAATGATTTTGTTGTTCCTGTTATCAACTTTAGGAATTAATAGCTTGTATTTGAAATCTGTAGTTAGGGTGAATCCATAGGCAAACTGAAAGTACAATGCATGCTTTCCCCCTGAACAGTAAACAGTGACCACTGAATCAAATTACCGCAATGTAAACATGAACAAAGGAATGGATGAGAAGATTAATTTGCCTCTGCAGTTACTGACTGCTATCTTTTGTTTTTAGGGAAAGGAGTGACAACACCTTATGTAATCTGTGACTGTCTGTTATCAGATCTGATTTATTTCATCATGGTTCTTTTTGAATTTGTATTTCAGGTTGACACAGTTGCCTTCCACCTGTCCGTGTTGAAGGAGAAGTTTCCAAAGGGTCTCAATATGCTGTCTCTCTTCTCCGGGATTGGTGGTGCTGAAGTGGCTCTCTACCGGCTTGGAGTGCCGTTGAAGAACGTGGTGTCTGTTGAGATCTCAGAGGTGAACCGAGGGATTATGAAGTGCTGGTGGGAGCAGACAGGGCAGAAGGGCATGCTGATCGACATTGACGATGTGCAGAAAGTGACTGCTGAGCGGCTGGAGCACTTGATGTCTGTTGTTGGAGGGTTTGATCTGGTAGTCGGTGGGAGTCCATGCAACAACCTAGCTGGTAGCAACAGGCACCACAGGGACGGCCTGGAGGGTAGAGAGTCTTCTCTGTTTTACGATTACTGTCGTATTCTTGAAGTGGTGAAAAATCTAACTGCTGCTGGAGCTAACTAGTGGACTTTCCTCCCCATCTAACCTGTGGATAGCTTAACCGTGGAGTGTCCATCGAGGCCTTTTCTTTCTTGTTTCCGGTTCTATATATCTCCTTTTTTGACTGTTCGTTGATTTGCAAACAATTATGCAGAAGTAGAGATGTCCTGGAAAAGTGTAAAGGTTAATCTAACTGTCCATCGTTTAGTGTCCTTTGTTAAGGTTTATAATAAATTTAGTTCAGGTTATTTTCACAATTTACCAGGTATTGGTGCCTTGGTGCAAGGGGAAACAGTTGTTGATCGATAGTCTATTGACTCAGTCTGTAGCTACTATTGTTCTGCAATACTGAAAGTCTGTACAACAGAGAATCAGATGATTTTTATATGTATTGAATCACAATGCGCTTAAATACGATCTGTGATTCTATGATCTTCTGCTATATATGGTTTTTTAATGGGATCTGCTATATATGCTGAGTATGTGGTTGTATGGATGACTGATTTGAGAGAAGTATTTGTGCATGAGACTCATTGTTGTGGTTGTTTGGATGATTGATTTCAGTGAAGCAACTGTAAACTGCTCTCATAAGTTAGTTTAAGTTTGCACAGAAATGAAAGATAGCAACACATTATTCCTAGCAGAGATTTGAGAAGAGAGTTTAACACTGAATTTGTCAATTTCATTCATTTGGCATCTGTTTGGGTTACCAAATTCCTTCACAACAGAGAGAACTTAGAGCGAGTTCAATCATCACATTTAAGATGATTCGAATATGTAAACATATACAAGAACGTTCATTGAAGAATTCTTGATGTATGGCTTGTATCGAGTTGATTTCACAACCAGAAGTATAAAGTTCTCCAGACATGGTAAGACTCTTGCTGCAAGAATAGTTAGTGTGATCACAAAATCACTGTAAAGAAGAACCAATTATAGAACCGGTTCAACATGCTGGGTTGACCCAAGTTTAATGATTGGATTAGGAAGTAGGAACTAAGAAAAGAAGGCACCCTCTGCA